CGTCATTTTTTTGCGAGAATCCAAGAGAATACTCATATATGGAATTTGCACGAATCCTCCGAATCTTAATTAATAATACTGTCTAAAAAACAAAATTGTGTTTATTTTGTTAATCTAAAACACCAAAATACAACAACAATGATAAAAATAAAACAATCAGATGGAGTTTTTGGTAAACACTTAAATTGTGCCAAAAGTAATATCCAGAAAATGCCGTAGTCAAAATAAGCTGATACAGCACCCTGGCATTTCTTCTTAGCATAATTTGTAGTCTGTTGTCCATCACGCAACTAGTCACGTAACTTGCAAAAGTTTTTATTCATTCTTCGATGAAATAAAAAAATAAATAAAGTTAAACGCTATTTAGAACTGGTTTATTGACCTAATTTCAACCGATATGCAGGGCTGCCGACAACCAGTATCACAGCGCAATTTGCGATACATATTTTGTCCGTTGCTAATCAAAAATTAAAATCTAACGTTTTTGATTCGCAGTAACTGCGAATCATTAACATGCCTGTCATTTTGGATATTGACACAAAGATTTATCCACATTTCTCAACGCTTTCAACGTATATAAAATATCAAATAAATTTTATAAACAAAAAAGAATTCTCCGTGTGACATTTTCTTCTCGAACTACCCAGACTCAATTCATTATACTATATAACAATGCTATATAATACAGGGACATAACTCTATGAATCGGGACTATTAAACCGGAAATAGGGAATCAAGTAGTACCACTCACGTTGCGAGACATGTCAATTTCGAGTAATTATATCAGTATTCAATTTGAAAAAAAATTAAATTCAGTGTTTCCCCCACGTATTGTAAATAAAATATAAAAAATAAATATGTGTAAACTTATTGTAAAATGAGAAATCAAAGTAAGAATTCCCGTAAACTATTATTGTTTATATCGCGTGCGTCTAGTTTGTTCGAGATTATTCGTAAAATACCGTGTGCTTACGATTGAACAAAAATAATAACACACGATAAAAAGCAGACGAAATTGTTTTCTAACGAAGAAATAAGAAGTCAATGCCCAGACATAAGGCCTAACCAAAAGTCTACATTCATTCGGAAATGTTCACAGCTACCTGTAGAAGTGCTAAAATTCTAAAAAAATCTTAAGAATGAAATCTAATCATTTGTTATCAATTAAAATTAAAATAATCTTGTTATTTAGGTGTTTTATGTTGAAACTGAAAAACTGCTAATCAATTTTTAAATTTGCTAATCAAATTTGGCAAAATTGAACTTTTTGATTAGCAGTGCTGCTAATCATCTGTGAAAAATTACCGACAGCCCTGCCAATATGTCATGTGTCATTGGAATTTGGCATTCGAGATTCTGTTGGGAAAATATCCACTGTTTCTCTCTCCGTGTATTCGGTGTTATATCAGGGGATTATATTCAATGAAGATTTAAATTTACCTCACAACTGGTCAGTGAATCCATCAATGTATGATCCAGTAACATGTATTATTTTAATATCTATCGGTACCTGGAATTCACATGGACAGAGTGTGGAAGATGCGCGATTTGCAAACCATGCCGAGATCGTCTTCATTCACCATGTGGCGTATTTTACTGAACCTATTATGAATTATCAGCAAGCTTGGGTTTTTTTGGGGTTTTTTTTACCGGATTATCAAAATCACCATTAAATGTGCTAATTACTCGGATTATGAACCACATATGTCCAATTCTCACTAAGGTACATATATGACTGTTGTTGTAGCCGACACTTCTTTATTAACAAGTAATAATTAACGCATTGTAATATAAGCCAAAAGTAGATTGATTTATTATACCATGTGGCCGATTCAGTGTTTTAGCAATCGGCTACATTAAACATCAATTGGCTAAATCCCACAAAATACAGCCGATTAACAACACTGACCCTAACTGACATTCAAAAGTTGGACTTGACAATTCTTCGAGATTTTTTTTTTAAAGAAAATTTGTGCGCGAATCCTTGCGCCAATTAGATTCAGATATTCCCGTGAATTTCTAGCCCTGTTGGATGATATTGAGTTAAGAGCAGTGGTTCTCAGCCTTTTTTTGCCATCGGCACACCTTGAAACACATGAAAAAAAAAATAGCGGCACACCTGGCTAAATATATATGAAAAATAATTCAATTTTGCAAGATAAAATCATGGCAAGTCATAGACAGTATACAACCGTAGACACAGACTAGTCATAGACACATAGAACGACTCAAAACTAAATAATACTCAAATGGGATCATGTGCTTTTTTGCATTTTCTTAGTGTGTCATTCCAAATTCTGCGGCACACTGAGGAAGATCTCACGGCACACCTGTGTGTCGCGGAACAATGGTTGATAATCTAAATGAAATGGGGTTTAACACCCTACTGATCGCTCCTAACCTGGGCTAATGAAGATGGACATACACCATACAGTGTGCTATGAGGGAAATTTTGCCCGGACAGCAGGACTACCAGAAGTTGCAGGCACGCAAAAATCTGTGTTTTTCACACATCTTTTTTCAAAATAAACGCAAATATTGACGGACGTTGCATAATCTACACGCAGAAAATTTCCTCGACGTAAGAATAATTAGATTATTCTATGTCGTCGTTTGTACCCTACTTCATCAATTTATGTGCTTCACGCGGCATTTACATACCGCTACTGTATGTAGTCTCCGTAGGTTTTTATATTTCCTCTTATTTCATTCATAATCATGTCAGTAATCCTTCTATACGTAGCTATTCAGAGACATCCCCATTTTGCCGCACTGGATGCAATAAAGCACATTTCATACAAGACTTTGGATTGGCTAGAACACGATAAACTGTCTACATTCAGCCAATCAAATATTGGCTTTCATAGTCGTCATTAGACTAAATACAGAATCAATAAAATAAGGACGCTTAAAATAGGATTATTCACGTAACCATTTTATTTGCTACTATTGAGTATTTTGAGAGGCTCTAAGTCACGCAGATGTAGAGGGCAAAAATGCAAAATTTTGGAATGTCTGCATCTTTTTATGCAACTCGAAATTGATCCACTGCGACCTCTGAGCACTACAGCCTACTCTTATAATATCGAATTCCAACTGTCAAGGGATCTTTACATGCACGCCAATGTGTACACGGGACCTCGCTTTTTCGTCCCATCCGAATGACTAGACAGCTGTCCTTGTCGAGCCCTCTGTCCTGCATCATTTACTAGGGGGAACCACGCTGGAAAATCTGGATGAACTTTCTCGGCCAATGCAGGGATTGAACACCCGACCTCCAAGTTAGTGTGCCAGCGTCTTACCCACTTAGCCACCGTTACCCTTGGTTGAGAATCACTGAGTTAGAAACTTGGCTACTATAATAATTAGTAATATGTTATGTATTAACATAGTTTTCATTGTAATATTAATCATATCATTAAATATGAATCACAAAGTATACTGTATCGAATGTTCAGGTATTGTTGAAAACCTAATAATAGTACATGTACATGTAAATTAAAACTATTAAATAATGTGTTTCCTATATAAACAACAGAATAATCAAATTACATAATTAATAAATTGCTAGAGAGAGAGAGAGAGAGAGAGAGAGAGAGAGAGAAAAAAAAAAGAGAGAGAGAGAGAAAAAGAGAGAGAGAGAGAGAGAGAGAGAGAGAGAGAGAGAGAGAGAGAGAGAGTTTAACATCAACTCGACACAAACTAATCATTTCGGGACTAACATATGGTTCAATCTTATTTCAACAATTCGCTTGCATGTAGGGGTCTTTAACAGTGGAAGGATACTGGAGGACCCAGAGAAGACCCACGAGATTGGACAGGCAACGTTACTCCTTGTCACCTACAACCCCCCTAACATAGCATAATACCAAGCACTCAATTTTATATTGTTAGAGAAAAAGATTTTCATTTCAAGGATTTAGTCCCTTCAGTAGGAATGTAGATTTTAAAATCAAAATGTTTTTGTACAATCTGAATAAAATAAAGATATGTATTTCGTTTCATTTTTTTATACTTTCGATGACCTCTACTAAATGAAGGTCTGACCAGTTGTAGTGGGAGGTTGTGTCAGGGGCCATACAAGCAGCTTTTGACCCTATGACGTCAGACATTGATTAATCAATCAGCACTGACGTTTCTAGTGGTTTACCCACAGTTCCATGCACAACACACCAAGAACTCGTCATAACAGACCGTTTCATTGGCTAATTCCTCACATTATGCAGAACGCCTGTTATATAACAACTCTTCCAGATCCTAGTGTAGTAAGGATGTAAACGGTCACTCGGTTAACCGGTCACGGTTCGGTTACACTGTTGAACCGGTTCAAAAAATTACTAATCTGTATTTGTTTTCATGATATCTGACCTTCAAACCCAGGAATGATAGCCAAAACATTGTTTTTTTTCACTAAGACCACATAAATATTTCAAATAGCACTTGTCACTTGTAATAAGTCTCGGGAAGTTAACGACTTTAGATTCTCCCCCCCCCCCTCGAAGTTTTGACATTTGTATAGGTTATTAGCACTCGCTGTCAAGTATTAAATCTCAATTGATTGACAAATTAATTGTTTTACAGTTAACGTCATCACTCCATAAACAAAGTCTGGAAATGAAACAAGTTTGATGTGATGAAATAATATTAAAATAGAGAGGATATAATAGTAAAATTGTTTATATTATCAATCGAGTGCGCGATGCTGTGCCGATGGGGTCAAAGTTGACATACGGTCACTGGTACCATACGATAAATTATTTGGAATTAGCTGATGTATTTAAAAATCCAAAGCTATGATTTCAAATACTGATTTCATAACTAATCTTATGAAGTATTAGTGAAGCTTTTTTTTAAAAAAATAAATCAACATGATTTCAATTCAACTGGTTTATGGGGCCTGCGTGACCTGTCAACGGGCAAGATGGAGAAATGAAACATCAAGAATGAATGAATGGAATTTGTACATTATGAGAAATTAATTGAATATTATACAATCTTACCTCAATGTTTTCACCTTCTGAATATTCCAGACGCTGCGAACTATTAGTGGGAGGTAACCTTGCTTGAAGAAACCTAATTCTTTCATCTGCCTTCATACTGTCATGGAAAATAAAAGTACATGTAATTATAATACAAACTGTGTAGATGAACATTTATTAAGGGCCCTCATTTTAAAAGTTTGCAGTTGGTCAATGTTTTTCTCCATGTCAGATTACCTAGAGATTTTTTCTTGAGAACAGGATGATTTTCAGCAATATCCGAACTAATGAATCAATTTGATTATAATTTTTCAAATTTATAATGCCTGAAGATGGTTAAATTCTATGAATTACCCAACTGACGTTGATTTAACCACATTATACGGCACTAAATTAATATAAACTCTTGAAATCCTACTGCTGTGCAAACAAATACAATGAAATGTGTACTATGAGAGAGAGATTGGGTTTCAAGTCCACTCGACACAAACTACATGTACATGTATAACATTTCGGGACTAACATATGGTTAAATTTTATTTCAATAATTCACTTGCACGTAGGGATCTTTAGCAGTAGGAGGAAACTTGAGGACCCGGAGAAAACCCACTAGGATGGACAGACGACTTTACAACCGGGGAATTGAAACCATGCCAGTTGACTCAATGACAGACCGTATGATACAACACACACGCACTCACTAACCATTCGGCCCTCTGTACTATGAGAAATATAACAGGATGTATGTTATTGTATCAATCAGATTGGAATACTGTACCCGGTATATGATTAATACATGCAGATCGAGAGTAAGATAGTAAGTCTTGCTCAAAAACTGATAAAATATAGACAAATTATCTACATATATGCCATCTTGTATAAATAATATGCACATTGTCTGTAACATTAATAGAAATGAAGATATTTCAACAACAAAAGATGGCGTTTGGCTTACATCTGTAATTTAAGGCACATTAAAACACCTGAATAAGAAGAACAAAATACCCATAAATAAAAATAAACTCACTTATGCTCATAACAAATAATAAGTTCATCTTCCAAAACATCTTTTACAATAGCCTACAAAAATAGAAAATATATAGCTCTTATTAATTATAAACAAGATTACACACAGGTAATACTGTAAGTCAAGAATAAAACATTTAAATTAATATTATTTATTAATATATTAACCAATACAAAAGAGATATGCACATGTGTGTGGGGGGGGGGGGTAACTCCCCTTGACACAAAAGAAATTAAGATCACGAATGCTAGGGAGAACTGGACTCAACATAAAGAAACCGAAAGTATACTTCTAAGAATTACTGTAGGAAGTGTTCGGAAAGTATGATGCCTGGATTTTACTTTAACCTTAAGAATCAAGGAAGTATCACAGGAATTGTTTAGAAAGTCGGACGGATGGATTTTACTTTAAGATTGAATCAATGGGTGGATTTTATTCGAAATTACATGTATCAAAAAACTAATGAATCCCATGCATCACTGAATATAAAAATTGGAAATTCCCAGCAATAGTTATGGTTCACAGGTACAGGCGCATATTGCAAGGTACAAGCCCACAATCTGGGGCTGCCCGGGCAAAATTTATCTCATAGCACTGACACTGTATGGCGTATGCCCGTCTTCATTAGCCCAGTTTAGGAGCAAAACAGTAGGACGTTAAACCCCATTTCATTTCCACAATCTGGGTCTTCATTGACATAAATAGAGTAGCTAAATTATATTAATTAGGATAATGGATCTATCCAAATCTACACTAAGTTTATTATACATGTAACACATTTCGCAAACTCCATCAATCTCACACACATGTAAATTAATAAATCATCACAATGTATTTTCTCCTTCAACATTTGTCTTTTGGATTGTAACTTTTTACATACAGTAGAACATGAAATCAAGTCAGTATGCAGACAAGTTATTTACATATGAAGGTGCAATAAATATTAACCAAAATGGCTAAAACCATAAAGTTCTTGTATATGAAAATGTCACTTTAAAACACAGTTTTAAAAATCGCTGTTGTGAGAAGAAAGTGTGTGTCATCTTCTCCCTTTTTCATCATGAAAACAAGTTAAAACAGACGATCCAGCTGATTGATGTTTGGTGTCATCCATGCAGATCAAATAAATTTTATTTATTACTTTATCTGGCTTCCTCCATATATTTAGGTGAAATACAACTTATCTCTCACTCCAGTTATTTACATGTTTTTATTATTAATCTATAAAGATTTATTTAACGATAAGTTACATGTAGATCTCAGTTAATTAACTCCTATTGCAATAACAAAGGGGATGAAACAGCCGTGTCAAAAAATTGTTTTTTTGCGATGAAACAACCCACACCAGATAATATTTATGGTAACTTTGGAGTTCTTGAATAACCTGTATTAAAAGAACACTCTTGTCATTGCTATAATTGAGCTACAGTTACTGGAATAATGTGTTCTCAGTTCTGTATGTATTTTTAAAGGGACAATAACACTCTTGCTGGCTTGACAGCTCCAGAAAATAAATAATAGCCTTATTCTAAGTATTAGATGTTTAAGTATCCTACCTGTGGTGTAAATTACCCATTAAATTCTATTTTACTTGTCCAGAGGGTTCGAATATATTTTTAAATCCAAGTCACATTTGAAAAGCTTTACGTTAGGCTTTTCAAATCATTTAGTTGAATTTTTCCAATTTTTTAAATTAGGTGTGTTAAGATGAAATTTGTATCATCAATTAATTGGAATATTGTAAAATAGTACAATTTGTTGACCAGAATAAAGATTGGGACATATTATTCAGTTACAACAAGAGTGGTATTGAGCCTTTAAGCTTTTATCTATAAGTTTATCCCTCAGTGTTTTTTCTTTTGTCTCAAGGAACATTTGGTTTGTCAATAAGCATATGATATGACAACAGCTGTAACTTCATAAAACATCCAAATAAATACAAAATAAGTCGAGACCAAGAGAAACTATTATCTCAAACTTTATTCAACCTGAATTCCTGACCTGACTTCTTAGCAGGAAGCATTTAAACTTATTACAAACTGGTGTTATAAGTACCATGATTTGGCCAAGACATTAAGAATGAGTGCATCCAACAATTATAATCCGTATTGGATGGCGGGAATTTACAGGATAGATGCTTAATACTTAGGCTCTAAAAAAGTATAAATGAATGATAACAATTTTGGAAAATTGATCTTCTGATTGGTCAAACTCACATTACAACAATAAATTGCATGACTGAATGGGGATATTATCTTTCAATTGCATACAAAAAACTCGAAGAGTGTATTGGTCTCATATTCAAAATTAAATTGAGTAATCATTCCATATTTCTGCTAGGATTATAGATTATTTTCAGGTTATTTCTAGGCTATTCTTCCGAATAAGGCAAAATGAAAGCAGCACACGCCGTTTTGCCGGCCTCAAGCACGGCTGAATTTATATCCTAATGTTTACATAATTACACGCACAAATGGTCATAATTATGACGAATAAAGCTTTCTTAATCGATAGATGTAATAAAATTTTAAAAATAACTGCGTGAAATAACTTTATACCTTGTAAAATGCCCCGTTAGATCCACAAACTTCAACCACAAGTTCCTCCATTTTGGAATACCCTAAAAGAATTCTGGGAAATGTTATGCGTAGAAGAAGCGACCAGGTTTTTAAAAAAAATTATTGATATAGCTAAAGATGAATGAAAATTTTTATCAAAGAAACATTTTATGTCAAATATTCAATGTATTTGAAAAATTTAAAGAGCTATTCAGTGAAATAATTAAAAGTCACGCCTTTAAAAATTGCGAGATTTGGCATGAAAAACCAATATGGCGACCTACTGAATTCCACGAAATTTGTTTACATTTACAATTTTCAAAATTTATTTTGTGTGTGTAAAAATGCTTTAAGATTCAACGATGTCTTCTGATAGCGATCAAGATGAATTTTTTGATGCAGAGGATAGTACACCATTCCAGTACGTGGTAACACTTTATTTTGGTAGACGAATTTGTTGTAAACTCAGTCCTGCTGTCACTCAGCAGTGTCACTGTCAGTGCTAGGCTAGTGGTTCAGCCAGAATCAGTGCTCAACTGACTTGACAGAGGAGACTAGAGTGCACGCAGACATAATAGGCCTAATGCCAGCAACAATATTATACTATAGTGATAATTCATTATTGTCCTGGCCAATTTGTAGGCCTATGTTGTAATTGAATAACAATTACCGTACATCTCAGACTGTAAAGAAAAGAAAGATGGTTACTGTAGGGCCAAATCTGATTGTGATGTGCATATAACACTATAATATGCCCTAAGTCATTAATAATAATTGATAATAATATGTGTTAGGCCTATTGCATGGCAGAATAGTATGTGCATAGGCCTATAGATATTAATTAGTACAGACACTGGGGTGTTTTGATGTTTGAGACAAAACGTGAGTTGTCAATCACGTGTGTTGATTGCTATTGTTAACTACCAGTATCAAAATTGTTTCATGTAACACTGTACAGTAGTTTTCTCACACGTTCAAAATGGATCCGTGTGGATCTTCAAATTTGGATTTATGACTGCATAAGTAATATTTTTAAAATTGTAGCAATTATATTTAATATAATCACGTATTGGGTGTTTAAGTTACGTGTATTACTAAATTAAAATACACAAATTTATTCATTATTATTTATCATTGTTTGAAAGCGAGTTAATATTGAGTTAAGATCTAGTCTGACCAAGTCTAAACCGTCGGCAAGTACGTATGTAAGTCAGATCGAGTTTGAACCATCGTCAGTCTGAGTCCGAACTGTCGTTTCTGTGGACTCCAAAACGTTGCGGGACGAAAACGTCATGATACTCTTCAACAGAAGACTATACAACCTGATAAAATAAAGAGAGAGAGAGAGAAATGGAGATTAACGTCCACTCGACACAAACTAGGTCATTTTGGGACTAACGTATGGTTTAAATTTTTATTTCAATAATTCCCTTGTGCGTAGGGTTCTTTAGCAGTGAGAGGAAACCGGAGGACCCGGAGAAAACTCACGAGGTTGGGCAGGCGACCCTACTCCTTGTCACGTACAACCATGGAATATACCTTATAGTTAATGGTATCCGACTTTACTGCATGATTTTCAGATAAAGGTGCTTTAAAAGCCTGTTAAGATTTTTATCTGATATTTTTCATTACTAGAGAGAGGAACAAATTCATGCTTAATTATATTTTCTTTTTTTGGTAGATCATTTCTAGTAGTTCCATCACCAGGATTTACTGCAAGTTCAGAAACAGTGAGTATTTAAGTTTACATGTAGCTATGGACAAATTCCATAGCCTTTATTTTAATTTGAGGTATTTAAATGACGGTCTGAATATGAATTGCTGATCAATATAGTTTGAAGAAGTATGTGACATAAACCTCGAAAGCGCCTCGTCTGTGGAGAAAGAAATCAAGATTAGAAAGCAGAAAGATATTGACTTTGAGAAGTTTGTGTCGTCTATCAAAGAGGCTGTAAAATGTATTGATTCTAATGATCCTCTAACTCTACTGCACTGGTGTTCTCAGTTCATTGAGCCCACACTTGACATATTTGCCCCTGTAAAGTCTTGTAAAAGTAAAGGCAACCATCCCAACCCCTAGTATACTGATGTTATTCACCCTGAAATAATTCTTAAACGAAGAGTAGAAAGAAGATGTGTACATGTAAAAACAGGTCTTGGAGTTGATAGACAACTATTCAAGAAGGTCATAAAATTGATATTAGATGCTACATGTAAGACAACTTTTTAGAACAACAAACTCTCTGCAACAGATGATGATGATAATGAAGATTTTTGGAAAAGGAATTGAAATTACATCAGAACTTAGAAGAATTATAATACATGATTTGAATTTAAAGTACCCGGTACTTGAAAAAGTAAAGCACGCAAGAGATTTAAATGTTAAGTGCACATTTTTGGTGTAAAAAATACGGAGTGATTAACCATAAATATCTGAATTAACTTTAAACCAATAAAATAATGAACAGTCATTGATGCAACCAATGAGCAATGAGTTCAATATCCAATAATCTCAAGCCCATTAAAGTCACAGTTTTGTACCATTACATGCAACTGATTAAAACACAGATCCTATTATGTTTCGTTTTTTATAGTTCAAACTTTTGATTTACTTGTCTTTGCTACACTAGGATCTGGAAGAGTTGTTATATAACCTGCGTTCTGATTGATGTGAGGGATTAGCCAATGAAACGATCTGTTTCGGCAAGTTCTTGACATGCATTTCACGGAACTGTGGGTACCCCAGTAGAAACATTAACGCAACCTAGATATTTAGATTTAATTATGTATACAATCTGATTAAAATACAGATCTATATTTCGATTCGTTTTTTTATACTTTCGATGGCCTACACTACATGAAGATCTGACAAGTTATAGCGATAGGTCACGTCAGGGGTTAAAAGACCGACTTATGACCCTATGACGTCAGACATTTGATTAACCAATCAGCATTGATGTTACTAGTGGATTACCCACAGTTCCGTGAAAAACACGCCTAAAGCTTATCCCTGACACCATTCAGAACACGAGTTAAATAACAACTCTTCCAGATCCAAGTGTAGTAAAGACAAGTAAAAAGGAAATTTTGAACTATAAAAACGAAACGAAATAGGATCTGTGTTTTAACCAGATTGTTATGAATAATATCTGATTTAGACATGTTTTAATGAAATGAAATGAAACAGAGTTTAACGTCCTACTGTTCTGCTCCGAACTGGGCTAATGAAGACAGGCATACGCCATACAGTGTGCTATGAGGGAAATTTTGCACAGACAGCGGCACTACGGCCTACTCTTATATCGAATTCCAACTGTCAAGGGATCTTTTACGTGCACGCCTATGTGTACACGGGACCTCAGTTTTTCGTACCATCCTAACGACTAGATAGCTGTCCTTGTCAGGCCCTTCGTCCTGCATCACTGACATGGGGGAACCATGCCGGAGACATGTTTTAATAGTCATGATATTAGAATTTGTACATGCATTTCTCTTTCTGTTCTAGTTGAGCGATTTTGAAGAAGAAGAAAAAAGAATATTGGAATTAAAGAAGAGGGCTGAAGAGCGGTATGCTTATAGTTTAATGATTGATAACCATTTTAAATTTGAGCCTGTATTTGTAAATTAATTTTTTTTGGGTTCTCTGTGCTGTGTAAGAAAGTTTTGATAATAAGTAATTAAAGAAATGATTGCAATAAAAACAAATTTTTTTTATAAACAGTATTTTATTTGCGATTGGATCGAGGAACGGGCTAGGCCTGAGTTGACCCCTCTCCACCAGGATTTGCATGTCAAGGGGAAATACTCACAGACAATAAATATAGTTTGGTAATCAGGAGAGTTTCCCAGGAAAATCTTTATTTTAAATTGAAAAAGAATCCAGATTAATAGCATTACATTGAGGTTGGAAGGCCGAAAGGTTAGCATGTGCGCACTGTATCATAAGGTCTGTCATTGAGTCAACTGGCATGGTTTTGATTCCCCAGTTGTACGTCACAAGGAGTAGGGTCGCCTGTCCAACCTCGTGGAGTTTTCTCCGGCCACCCACTGCTAAAGACCTAGTTTGTGTCAAGTGGATGTTAAACCCCATTTCTCTTTCTCTCTCTCTCTAATAGTATTACCACTATATTCTTGTCTTAAGTGCTTCACTCTCATATTTTTTCATATAGAAGAAAAAAAGAAGATGAGGATCTAGCGAGGAGATTATCAATTTTACGAAAGAAAAAAGCGGCTGAGTTTGAGGTGAGAAGACTGTCATAGTCATACTAGCATTTGTAACATTACATACTCCTCGCAGTGTTTCATTTGATTAGACCTAATCCCACTCAATCAAACACTGCTGTAACGAAAGCAAATTTCTGTTCCAAATTATGACTGGTCAATAGTCTAATTAACAACCAATAGCTAACTGCGTAACAATATCATTCAGGTTTAAACAGAGCTCCAGATATGTTTACATAACGTTACGTCATTACTCACGAAAATTTATTACGCCCAATGACCAGTGCATATCAGAACATTGCAGAAAAACTAATTGTGTGACAAACGAGGCTATCAAAAAGGGCTGTCATGTTGCTGTACTTAGGAGAGCTTTGATTGAATGGGAAGAATAGACGCACTTCCTCAAAAGTCAATCCACCTGCCACCTTCCCTCCCTCCCCTTCTAGTTGTTTATTCTCATTTTGTATATTGTTACAACAAACTATTTCAACAGATTTTAAATGTTTAAAACTTTATTTTAGGACACAGTTGAAAGTGTTTGTGAAGATGAAATACGAAGAAGAAAACTGTTTGAAATGAGACAGTTGATTGGTACAGAAAGTACACCAGTAAAGACTACCGAGACATCAATCTCTGTCGAAGAATCTACGGACGACAGTTCCATTTCTGATAACAGAAATGAATGCAATACACCGGGCACAAAATCACACACCATTGAGAAAATGGAGAACAATTGGGGGGACTGTGATGAATATTTATTACGTTTGCGACGAAAACGATCGGGTTCGTTCGGAGATCTACCTCGGGACACATCACAATTGGTTTTGGACACGAGTAGTATTTGTGAAATTAGTAGAGACAATATAAAGACGAATATTAGTGAATTTCATCCCGAAAAAGGTAAATTAGATAAATCACTATCGTTTGATCTGGATAATACATCAACGTCGGCGGAAGTTGTCGTTGATGATATTATTAAAGAGGAACAAATCGCCAGTAATGAACCAGATATTGTGCAAAGCACAAAAACGAAAACACCACCTACATCGTTTATAAGACCAGTAGCTCCCCCTAGAAGAAAACGAAGAAGTAATGAAGATTCGGTAAGTAACGGGTGTAATGAACAGTGTTTTGTAGTATTTTAATTTTACTCTAAAAAACATTTTTAAAAACAATATTTTATTCATAATAGAGGATATGATAACAAGTTTTATAAGCTTATATACAACCGTTTCTCGTAATGATCTGATTATATAGTTGACAAGTGCATGGTATTCATTTTGTTTCGTTTTTTATAATTCAAAATTTCGTTTTACTTGTCTTTACTACACTAGGATCTATAAGAGTTGTTATATAACCCGCGTTATGGTTGATGTGAGGGAATAGCCAATGATACGGTCTGTTACGGCAAGTTTTTGGCGTGAGGTGCATGGAACTGTGGGTAACCCACTAGAAACGTCAATGCTGATTGGTTAATTAAATGTCTGACATCATAGGGTCAAAAGCCACTCGTGTGATCTCTGACGCGAGCTTCCATTACAACCGTTCAGATCTTCATGTAGTGTAGGCCATCGACAGTATTAAAAAAAAGAAACGAAATATAGATCTGTATTTAAATCAGATTGATGTATAATTTGCCTGTAAATATTCTTCAGGTTGCATTTATTAACAGATTTTATTCAAATTTCGGCATGATCAGTGATTTCAATAATCTTTATTTATTTTGCCAGATATTTCTGAAGAATTTATAGCTCCTTAAGTAAACCAGCTCTCAATCTTTTTGATCTTGTAGATTATAATGCGTGGTTAGTAGTAAGTGCCCTTGTAGGTTGTGGTGTATGTTTGTTGCCTGACAATGTCATTTTACTATAACACATACTTATGGAAGAGCAATTACTGATTTATTTAGACAACGTTCTGTAGGGTATTCTATCAACGTACTTGCTTGAAAACGTTGAGAGAATACTCTTCGAAACGTCGCCTAAATAAATCAGTAATTGTCCTTCCATAAGTATGTTTTATAGTTCATTGCTCTATCCAGTTACTAAATGCCTGTGAAAGATTATATTGTGATTTCCTTTTGTTTTCTCTAGGATAGTATTTCATCCATGTCAGAAATCATGAACCCTGGATTACCTCCCCCTACTCCAAGTACGTCAACTAAACAGTCACATGATGCAGTGACATCACTTGATATAGATAGTGTGATTGGTGGAACAAGACATATAACATCACAGGTAAATTAACATTCTGTCACACAATTTATCTTAAAAAATTTGTTATCTTAAGGCATCGTGAAACGCAAATGTATTATCCAGTGCAGGTTTTTCCTGAACACTGAAAATTCAGATATCTCAGCTTTTAGATAAATATTATTGAGAATGATAACTTTATATGAAATTTGCCTTGTTGCTATGGAAAAAATCAACGATACATGTAGATAATCTATTAGTTTGCATCGAAACAATTTAAAAAGATTTTACACAGCACGAGAGAGGGAGAGAGGAATAGGGTTTAACGTCCACTCGACACAAACTAGATCATTTTTTTACTAACATATGGTTCAATTTTATTTCAATAATTCGCTTACACGTAGGAGTCTTTAGCAGTGGGAGGACAGACGATCCTGCTCCTTCTCGTGTACAACCGGGGAATCTAAACCACACCAGTTGACTTAATTACAGACCTTATGATACAACATGCATGCGCTAACCATTCGGTCATTCAAATGGCTTGTTTATGTTGTCATCAGAGGATGTAGAATGTTGTAAAATTTTCATATTGATTCCTTGGACATCGAATTGATTTTTTTATGTACCGGTATATATATACTTATTGTATTAATGAATTTTTATATATATAATTATTTTCTGATTTTCATCCGTTTGGAGATGATAATACACTTTTTTCTCTGTCATGAATTTTAGGAAGCAGAGTTGGATGCCAAGCATTTAGATCCTGATGTCGATTCACTGGACATGCGTATCTTCTCATTTGAAGAAGTGACAGACGATGAATTATTAGGGGGAAGTGATACAGAATCTGGTCGTAAAAAATCATTACGTCCAACCATGAGACCGAAGAAAAAGAGTGTAGATCAATCATTGTCTCCTAGCGCATCAACATGTCGTCCAAGATCTAATTCAGGAAGATCTTTGACAGATCAGGTATAATAATAATAATAATATAATAATAATAATAATAATAAATAGATAGAACTCAATGACTATTGAATACCGCTCGGGTTATTCAAAGGTTCAAGAGAGTGTATCGCTGCGCTAACGTATGGAATGCGACATGGATACACTCAAGTGAACTATTGAATAACCCGAGCGGTATTCAGTGGTCATTGAGTTCTGTTTTTATTCTATAACTACACGTAAATCTCAAAATACACTGTACTATCCAGATTATTAAAAACAAAATCACTAATAACATTAAAATTCATCATAGGTTCCGCCCTTTTTTCTTTCATTTTTTAAAAAAAAAATTGTGGTTGCTAGTGTTGACGTCATAATAGTTTGACGTAATTCTGAAAGTGACGTCATTCTGGACAATAGTAGTACGTATACAAGCCATTGAATACAACCATAGGTTATTCAATGGCTGTATTCAATGATATTTGCTTGTAGTTATAGAATAATTATCTGTATCAATTCAACATATCAATGTGAGCCTAAATTGTTGTTGACACAGGGCTGAAATTAACATTGTCATCGTCAACATTGTCCGAAAAGTTGTTGGTGATGTCCCATGACAAACGTCTTCAATGCAACGTCTCACGCTTTCCGGTTTCATTGTGGGGGCTGCCATTTTTAAAACAAATGAAATTGAGGCTGTGCAGTTGACAAGGGAGTAAAATTGGTATAAATGTTTAATTTGATTATTTTGTTTTGTAGGAAATTTTGGATTCTGTGATGATATTAGATTTAGATACAGGAGATAAAATACCATTAAGTGTTGCGGAAGAAAAAATACCAGCTACTCTAAATCCATTGGCGTTACATATAATGAAACTTGCTCAAGAATTTCAGTCTGATAAGTAAGTAGACCTACATGGTTGGTTGGTTTTACTGTTTGCTGGAGTATATTAGGTCTTATCTTTCACTACATCATGGCCTGTGTTATCATTTTGTAGTTAAAAGACAATATTGGTGCCAGTCATTATCACATATGTGATAGAGCTAGTTAAACACATTCCAAATATAATTTTAACACAGAGATCATTGATACGATAGCTGAGTAATACAGGTTTCCCAAATGAGAAGTGACGAACGCCAAAGGAAAACACGAGTCATCTCTCTATATAACTGACTGATGTGACGAGTGATAACAGATACACGGCCGAATTTCTGCTCACTAATAATTCCTTTGAATACCAAAAGTTGTTATATGAGACTGTAAGAGGATACCTGACAATTCAATAAAGTAATTGATTGTCATTAGATAAGAGAACATGAGAAAAATAGAAATAATCCGTACATTCCCTTGTTTATATTCATTCTATACCTTATAAAAACAGGGTAATGCACGGACTTTTTCTGTTTTTCTTTCGTGTTCACTTATCTAGTGACAGTCAATTCTTTTTATGAATTGTCAGATATCCTCTCACAGTCTCACACAACAACTTTTGGTCTTCGAAGGAATTATTAGTCAGCAGAAATTCGCCCGTATATCCTTTATCACTCGTCACATCAGTCAGTTATATAGAGAGATGACTCGTGTTTTCCTTCAGCGTTCGTCACTTCCGATTCAGGAAACCTGTATTACTCAGCTATCGTAGCAATGATCTCTGTGTTAAAATTATATTTGGAATGTGTTTAACTAGCTCTATCACATACAGAGGGTCTGGGACCGTTGTCAATATTTGACGTAAAGTCCATTGCCCATGCATAACCGGGAGTTTGGTTTTTTATGTGGTTGATTATCCAAGTCTGGCCAGGTCAAGTAAGAGTTGTGCCCCTTCCCGCGATAAATTCTTGCATTAATATAAACAAACATGAATCGTGTCTATGAATTAGGATAAATTTGAAAAAAAACAAACAAAAAAAACATATATATGGCCCATGAAGAGACAAATTTTACAATAAAAATATTAAGAGTGTTGGATTTTGAAATGGCTATGCAGTCAAATGGATTTTTTTTATATGGCATTCTTAGATTAATTTCATGGGCGGCAACATCTTGTTTTAAGACTATCTAGTCAATGACCTAATATTCTCAAATGTTGACAATGTATCCAGACTAATATTCGTAGAATATTTTTTTGGATGATAGATACTACATAGTGTTGGGATTTAAATATTGGTGAACATGTTACCGAGAGGTTGATAGTGTATGATCTCCTTAACTCACTCAGCCTCAATATATGTTGTAATTTTCCTGTATTTTTTCAGTCAGTCTATAGTAACGGGAATGGAATCAGATGAAGAAGATACACGATCTGAAAAGGGAACCCTGGGTACATCTGGTCTTAAAGCCAAAGAAAAAGCGTAAGTCTAACTTGTGACGAGACAATGTTATGAGTAGAGTTTGTCAAAGAAACGATGCGCCTTTAGCATGAGTTACTAAAATATCAATCTGAATAAAATGCAGATCCTATTTCGTCTCATTTTTTTAGAGTTCAAAATTTTATTTTATTTGTCTTTACAACACTAGGATCTGAAAGAGTTGCTATATAACTGGTTAATGTGAGAGATTAGCCAATGAAACGGTGAGTTCTTGGCGGGCGATGCACGGAACTGTGGGTGAACCACTAGAAACGTCAACGTTGATTGATTAATCAAAGTCTGACGTCGTAGGGTCAAAAGCCATTTGTGCGACACCTGACGCGACCTTCCAGTAGTCATTCAACCCCATGTCACAAAATAAATGAAATTCTATTTTTTCCAGAATTAAATTAAAGAAGTTTTTAGGAAGGAAAATGGGTAGAACAGTTAAAAAAGTAAAAAGTGCAGCTGATAATGGTAAAAAAAATTTATATTTATTAGCGATCGAATTTTAGGCCTAGCCTCGATCATCATTACTAAAGTCGGTACAATAAAAAACAAAGTCTCGTTTATCCATTTTGACGTTATTCAAATCCAGTAAATATTGCAGGCTAGCCATGACATCGAGAGTTGATTATGGTCTGGATAAGTTAATTAATGTCCAATTAATAATTTAGATAACATTTCACACCTAAAGAAAGACATGCAACTGGCAGATTTAGCTCTTGCTTCATGTATGTTTAATACTTTAAAAATTTTACAATCCCTCTTTAGAATCATTTTTTATATCAAGTGATATGAGAGTTTTGATATTTTAAGTTTTACATGGAGAAGAACAGAGTATAGAAAAGGAAGTGTTATTTGATGGAAAAATATTTAAGGTAAACTTTCTTTGCCATATACTCAGTTCTGTTAAACAATACACGATTGTCAGCCAGTAACATTCCGAATTGACAGAATTACAATCGTGTGACGTGGAATTTAGTCCCTTCACTGTTTTGTCAGTCCCAATAACGGAGGTGGTGTGAGTAGAATTGTGACGTAATTAAACACAACGAATATGTTTGGTTGAGATATTATCTTATGCATTCAATGCGCAAAATCCCCCTTTTTACTCGATTGTCACTATTTTGGGGATTGAAAGAATTCAATTCCGGACCATAAATCGAGTATCCCCCATGTGAATTTGAGAAGGACTAGAACATGCATTGACCTCATAAGTTAGGTTTGTTTTAAAATTTCTTTTTCAAACTTGCATTTATTGATCACTATTGAAAATCACTATCCCTTGTCAATTATTCATACCGTTATTGCCCACGTAATGGAAGTCTTATAAATAATCTATGATCTGTAGTTTCTAAGATTTCTTTTTGAAACTCGATGTCAAAAATCGTTCAACTGGTTATGTGACATATTATGTTAAATGCCTTTATTACTAATATTCCATATAATGTCTTTTCAAAAGTTATAATAGCTTTGGGGCAACGGAATTGTTTTTATAAAAAGTTTTGAACCAGGCTTTGGTTTTACTTATATGACAATTATTTCACTGATGTTTTATTTATAATTGTTTATTTTAATTCTACAGATCAAATCATCTGGTAATAATAAAGGTCCACATGATTTTACACAGTTACAGATGTTACAAGATATGAGTGGAGAACATGTCGTACGTATATTTCACAGTCATTGTTTTTTAAGGCGAGCGATCGCTCTCAAGCGCCTGCCATTCACCTTAATGTTGACCGAGGGGAGGTTTTTTCCCCTCTCCTTAAAACTGAAAATCGCTCTCCTTTACAAAGTCATGGGGGGCTTATTGTCATTTATGAATTCAGGAATGACCACCTAACATGCAGTTATTGTTCTTCAGAACCATTTCTCATTCACACGAGTAATCACTTTCCTTAATATCTGATCACTCTCCTTAATTTCTAAATCACTCTTCTTATCGAAATTGGGAGTGCTTTTTTAGGGGAGCGATTTTTTCAATTTGTTGATTAAAGGGAGCTTTTTTCGTCTCTCCTCTAAAATACAAACAACAACGACTGATTTCATATCTAAATTATTATCCACTCGTAAACTCGAATTGCCACTTCAAGTATACATCCTTTTTATTAAGGTGACTTGGTGGATTTTCCAGTCTGGTTTTCCCTTGTCAGTCCGACAAGGAAAAGTAGTCATAGTCACCAAGGACCTCCTAGTCTTCAATGTACGGAAGGTCTGGGACTGTTGTCAATATTTGACGAAAAGTTCCATTGCCCATGCGTAACCAGGAGTTTGTTTTTTATGTGGTTGATTATTCGGTATCTTTGGCCAAGTCAAGTAAGAGTTGCACCAATTCTTCGCAATAAATCCTATTGCATGAATCGTGACAACGAATTAGGATTAAGTAAAAAAAACATAGATATGGCCCATGAAGGAAGAAATTTTACAAGCAAAAAAAAAAAAATTAAGAGTGTTGGATATTGAAATGGCAATGCAATCAAATGGATTTTCTGAAATGGCATTCTTATAAATTAATTTCATGGGCATCAATATCTTGTTTTAGGACTAGTTGCCTCCCTTAGACTTTGTTTATAATAATGTAAAAGACCTGATAATCTGGCAAATGACCCCCACCCCTCCTTAAGGCTGATACTCTGTTTAAGTCAAGTGTATTATAATTGGATATCATTTATTTTATGAATTATTTTATAATCCATGATCATTTGCTTCTGTTTCAGGGGGCTATATGGACAATGAAATTTTCACCTTGTGGCCGTTTATTGGTAAGACCCTGTATATTATACAAATATATTTAGTAGCTTTGCAAATGTACAATTCTGATGTTTAAGTCCGCCTTTATGTCAATATAATTTAGATAATAGAATCATGACTGAACTAACTTTATAAAAAGGCTCATGAATTTTGTCAAAGTTTCATAATTTTTTATCACTTCCATAACCTAGTTATTCACCCACCTGAATGGCTGGAGCGTTATAATTTGTATACAGATCACCTAAGGGAATTGTAGAAATTTACCTTGGTGTTATGTGACTTTTACATAAAGGGTACCAAATATTATTATGTGTATAGCATGTGAATTATAATACGTAAATTTTTTTATTTTTTTTGTCATTGTAAACATATATTTTTAACAATTGATTTTGAATATTCGTTTGTTCGTTCCTGGAGTTTTACGTCCACTCCTACCAATGTGATCTGACATTAGTTAAATAGTGATGGAATAAATGTTATTTATTTTTTTTCAGGCAACAGGAGGTCAAGATAGTGTTTTACGTATATGGGTTTTAAAATCAGCTTATTCACATTTTGATGATTTACGGCAAAAATATTCTGATGGTAAGTTGTTGAGAATTTAACATCTGATGCTAAGTTCTTCAGTCTTCAGTATACAGTGTTCATGTCCATGAGACAAAGTTATGCATGACAAGGAGTAGGGTCGCCTGTCCAACCTCGTGGGTTTTCTCCAGGACCTCCGGTTTCCTACCACTGCTAAAGACCCCTACGCGCAAGCAAATTATTGAAATAAAATTAAACCATATGTTAGTCCCGAAATGACCTAGTTTGTGTCAAGTGGACATTAAAACCTCTCTCTTTCTCTCTCTCTCTCTCTCTCTCTCTCTCTCCACACACACACACACACACCCACCCACACACACACACACACACACACACACAGTTATAGCACTTTTTGTGTATGTTTTGTGGATTGGCAACCTATCTTTTGAATATAATTATCTATTGTTGAAAAGAACTAAATTTTGATGATTGTATTTTTATTTTGTTTTTTGTCTCTGTTTCAGTAAAAGTATCACCAGCTCAATCACATGAAAGTCTGAATTCCACCACTTCTGATGCTTCATTCAAGGAAACTAATGTAAGTCTTTAAATAATATTTTCGGTGTTTTCTGTGAATGTGCAGTAATTTTAACATACATTATACAAGAGCTAATTCTGCTTATTGCAGGTCTTTCTTTAGGCCTGACATATTATCTAAATTATTAATTAGACATGACAAGCTCAAAATCAACTCTCGATGCAATCGCTAGCGTGCGATATTTACTGGATTTGAATACATTTTGTGATGGATGAATTAATGTCAAAATGGATAATTGAGGCTTTGGTTTTTATCCTACCGATTTCAGTAATGATGAGCGAGGCTCGGCCTAAAATTCAATTGCTCATATCACGATACAGAGGGGAGCAATTCGTCTGATATTTTCAGCATATTCGCTTTACATTATCTAGTTTTTAACTATTATAGTGAGAATTGCCAGCTCTTTATCTAATCTCCCATAATATATCTTTAATATACAATTATCTTTAGCATGTAGTATTTGAGCAGAAGGGACATAGGTTGACGTTTCTTACAGTTTTCAGCCATGTTGGATGTAATTCTTTAATTTTAGCTTTAATATTAATTGCTTTATTTTATGTTTTAGGGAGCCTGTTTTGAACCTGAAAATACAAATGCACCATTTAAAAAGAAGCCATTTTGCTCATATAGAGGTCATTTAGCTGACCTTTTAGATATATCCTGGTCAAAGGTCAGTTATTTTATTATTAATGTACGAAGACAGGATGAAATGATTTTTATCTTCTCTAATTGTTTTGATGCATTAGTATCTGGATGTTGCTAAATTACTTTACAATTCCCGAACTTATAGCTACATTATTATCTACAGACACGTGAATAGTAGCGTACAATCAGAGGTTGTGACATACAGACTTCCACAGAAACCTTGACATTGAACGAACCTTAAACTTTGCAACTCGATTATCACAGGTAGACATTTTATCTGGTATTCAGGCTGGATCAGTAGCCATTCAAAATTAGTGCCAAAATATGCAGGGTATTACGTGAAGGCCTTGATAAAATGTACATAGTTAAAGCGAGATCAAGCTTTCTATTGAAGATAGAAGAAAACTTGTGTCAGAACATGCCATTGAAGTGGAGGTAAAACTCCAATCCATGGCTATGTCATATATATATATATCAAAATGTCGGGGGTGGGTCAACTGACGTGGTTTCAATTCCCCTGTTGTACGTGACAAGGAGTTGGGTCACCTGTCCAAACTCGTGGGTTATCTCTGGGTCCTCCAGTTTCCTCCCACTGCTAAAGAACCCTACACGCAAGCGAATTATTGAAACAAAATTGAACCATATGTTAGTCCCGAAATGACCTAGTTTGACCTAGTTTCTCTCTCTCTCTCTCTCAAAATGTTGATCATTAAATTTCATAATTTGATCATTAAATTTGTTATATTTCAGAATTATTTTATTTTGTCTTCCTCAATGGATAAAACAGTTAGATTATGGCATATTTCACGTCGAGAATGTTTGTGTACATTTCAACATATTGATTTTGTGACAGCTATTGTGTTTCATCCTAAGGTAAGATGAATGATCATTTCACCATTACCCATTAGTGTTATTACACCTGCATGTCATTCGACCGTCTAGGAAGCCACAGTGGCTATGACGCCGGTTCACTAGCCTGGAGGTCACGTGTTCGATCCCTGCATTAGCCGAGTAAGTTATTAGGGATTTTCCGACATGGTTTCCCCTTGTCAGTGGTGCAGGACGAACAGCCTGACAAAGACGGCTGTCTAGTCGTTCGGATGGGACGAAAAACCGAGGACCTGTGTATACAATGGCATGCACGTAAAAGATCCCTTAGCAGTTGGAATCTGATATAAAAGTAGATCATAGTGCCCCTGCCCGGGCAAAATTTCCCTCATAGCATACTGTATGGCGTATGCCGTTTTCATTAGCCCAGTATAGGATCAGAACAGTAGGACGTTAAACCCCATTTCATTTCATTCGGCCGTCTGATCTGTCGTGAGAATTTAGATTTTTTAAATAAAGAGAGTTTCCATATCACAGTGACCCTTACTTAATTAAAAGGGCAAAAATTGATCACTTTTCAAATATCTTGATTAAAAGAATTACTGAACAAATTTTGATTTTTTTATTGTAAATGTATGTCCTAAACATGGTTCTCCAAGGTTATTTTTCACTTTGTAGTCTGGGTTCCACAATTTTTATCTGATTTTGATGAAACTTAAAATGTATGTTTATAACCCAAAAATCTCAGTTCCTTACAATATTGGCGTAGATTGGACTGTAACATCCTGGATTATGGTCCCCGATAGTACAAAAAATCACATTTTTAGCCTATGGTTCCTCTAGAGGGCACAATTTTTATCCAATTTAAAAAAATGTTCGAATATTTTACTGTTACACCCAAATGACAGTCGAGTTCGAGTTTCATGCAAATCGAACAGAAACTGCCAGACAAAATGGCCGCTCCCTGTACGCAAATAGTGTTAAAGTATTTAATATCAAGGTCACAATTTTTATTCGATTTTAAAAAACAATCAAATATATCACTATTACTCCATACGGAAGGTTGACACGAAAATTGGACCGCATCTTCCATCAAAATGGCCGCTCCCCTTTACATAAATAATGTAAAAGCGTGTAATACCAAAGTTGTGACCCCTCTAGAGGTCACAATTTTTATCCGATTTTGATGAAACTTAAAATATCTTTGTTTAGAATATTGACGCATGTTGGACCGTAACATCCTGGATTATGACCCCTTATTGTACGAAAATAGCTTGTTTAGCTTGTTCATTGTCTATCTCTTTCAAAATGTGGACGTATCTTGCATGGCAACCATGGGTTTCATGTCGGCCGTATATGCCCGTCAAGACCTAGGGCTATGGAAAATGATCGTAACTAGATCTGACCCAACGGTCATTTTGCACGCGGGAGAGAGCCTTTTTTTCAAAACCCAATTTTCAAACATGGCTACGAACGACCTGCTTGTATTTTAATGTATCTGACTAAACCACGTTTTAGCTTGAGTTTATTTTCTATTTTTAATAGGATGATCGTTATTTCCTCAGTGGATCGTTAGATGGTAAATTACGATTATGGAATATACCAGATAAAAAGGTGACTTTATGGAGTGAGGTTAGAGGCTCATCTAATCTTATTACCACAGCTAATTTTTGTCAAAATGGAAAATTTGCTGTTGTAGGAACATACGATGGAAAATGTATATTTTACAATACAGAGGTGAGTTGTTAATGTATTTTGTGGGGGGTTGAATGGCCAAATGGGTAGCGTGTGCGTGCTGTATCATAAGGTATGTCATTGAATCAACTGGCTTAGTTTCGATTCCCCAGTTGTATGTGACAAGGAATTAGGTCACCTTTCCAACCTCATGGGTTTTCTCCGGGTCCTCTGCTAAAGACCTCAACATGTATCTAATTATTGAAATAAAATTGAACCATATGTTAGTCCTGAAATGACCTTGTTTGAGTCGAGTGGATGTTAAACCCCATTTCTCTCTCTCTCTCTTATTCGATTCTTGGGATTGTGCTCCGTGTTTTTAGAAATTTTACTTTACAGTTTAAATTTTCATATTTTGTGTCCCAGTTGGTAACATTTAATGTACTATATATTAATAATTTTGTTGTTCACAGCATAATGGATTAATTTATCCTTTTCAGCAATTAAAATATTTTACTCAGATTCATGTACGATCAACTAGGGGTAAAAACGCTAAGGGTAGAAAAATAACGGGTATAGAATCTCTACAAACAGAAGATAAGGTAAGTTGACTATCATCTCCACCAATTATAATTCATTAATGACTCAATCTGATTAAAACACAGATCTTATTTTGTTTCGTTTTTTATAGTTCAAAATTTTTGTTTTATTTGTCTGTACCACACTGGGATCTGGAAGAGTTGTTATATAACCTGCGTTCTGGATGGCGTGCAGGATTAGCCAATGAAACTATCTGCTATGGCGACTTCTTTGCGTCCCATGCACAGAACTGTGGGTAAACTACTAAGAACGTCAACGCTAATTGATTAATCAATGATTGATGTCATAGGGTCAAAAGCCACTTGTACGACCCCTGACACAACCTTCCACTACAACTGGTCAGATCTTCATGTAGTGTAGACCATCGAAAGTATAAAAAACAAAACAAAACAAAATGAAATGAAATATAGATCTGTATTTTAATCAGATTGTTGATGGCTTTCCATAAAAAGTGTTTGGTTTAATAATACTGTTCAAATTACCATGACCAAACATTTTGTACAAATATTCTTGGCAGCAATCCTGTTGTCAGGTTAAAAAGGATAACTAAGTAAATGGACTTTGTAAATAAAACAACATTAACATATACTTGCTCTTATTTCAGTACAAAATAACAACACAATAGAAAAATTACATTCTTTGAGTTAAAGATACATTATGTAAGATTTAGATAAAGAAATAAAATGAAATGAAATGGGGTTTAACGTCCTACTGTTCATTTAGATAAAGAGCTGACCATTCTTGCTTTAATAGCTCAAAAATAGATAATATAAAATGAACGTATTGAAAATTTCATTCAAATTACTTCATTCTGAGCCAAGTTATCACTGTTTGTTGTTTTGACAAGATGTGTGCATTGTGGTAACCAGGGCACTGGTATATTCAAGACTTAGCCTCCCTCTCCCATTTTTAAATTAAATTTTTAAATGGCGAATCATTTTAATCTAGTTAAAATCTCGAGTATCCGATGCCATCGAGAGTTGATTATGGTCTTGTTTTGTTAATTAATGTCTAATTAAAAGCCTATAGAGAGACTTGCAATAGGCAGAATTAGCTCTTGCATAATGTATGTTTAATGATAGTTTCAACAACTATCTACAAATTTGTGCTTCTCTTGTGATAGTGACATTGAGTCTGATGCGATGGTGGAAATTACACAGAAGCCATAGAATTGACCTCCAGAGTTTGAGATAATGATTATTCTTTCTCTCTTCAGTTACTAGTGACATCGAATGATTCTCGTATAAGAATGTATGATTTAAGAGATTTAACATTATCATGTAAATATAAAGGTAGTACCAATAACAGTAGTCAGATTAAAGCTAATTTAAGGTAAGATTTGTTTATATTTATTTAATAAACTACAGTTCTTATCGTCGTTTTCAGTTGAGCTTACTACATGTATGTGAGGGGTTGGATGGCCGAATGGCTAGCGTGTGCGCGTTGTATCATAAGGTCTGTAATTGAGTCAACTGGCGCGGTTTCGATTCCCCAGAAGGGTCGTCTGTCCAACCTCGTGGGGGTTGGATGGCCGAATGGCTAGCGTGTGCGTGATGCATCATAAGGTCTGTCATTGAGTCAACTGGCAGGGTTTCGATTCCCCGGTTGTATGTGACAAGGAGTAGGGTCGCCTGTCCAACCTCGTGGCTTTTCTCCGGGTTCTCCGGTTTCCTCCCACTGCTAAAGACTGCTTTGCACAAGCGAATGATTGAAATAAAATTGAATGTTGTGTTAGTCCTGAAATGACCTCTCTCTCTCTCTCTCTATTATGATGAGTTATGTTATCCTGTTTAACTATATTTTCAGTCCATCAGAGAAATATATCGTATGTGGATCAGAAGATCATTTTATCTATATATGGAAAGTCCACCATGATTACACCAAGTTTTCTTCGGCTAGAAGAGATAGAAATGATTACTGGGAAGCTATTAAAGGTAAACTTAGCCGACTCATTTGGCTGAATCAATTGGCGCCAAATTTTATTCGGCCTAATGGGTGCACACACTAGGGGAATGCTTTGCCCGATTCATCAGTCGATTCCATCACCTTTCACGTCACATGACTTAACATGGTGGCAACCATGTCTTCAACAGTCACGTGACTTCTCTGTATGATTGGATGATGAGTGGTGATTGGCTAATGAATTCTAGACACACTAGGCGAATTTCGACGAAGATTGATTCGGACAAATCATTCTGCCAGTGTGTCTGCCACTTTACGGAAGCATACATGTATAAACATCCCAGCTGAATTTCCATATTTGGAAATGCCTGAACAAACAATTCAATATTTATAAATTTTTTAAAACATGTTTATTATTGAAAATCATTACCATTATATTAAAGGTCACCGGAAAAGTTTCATTTTTTAAAAAAAATAATGCATCTCCGTGGGTAGTCATAACTTTCCGTCAATAAACAATCTGTAAGAAGGACTAAAGTGACGTCACAGATTGTTTATTGACTACCCACGGAGAATGGTGGAAATGAATAACGTTGAAATTTACCTGTTGCAGGTAATATTGACATTCGGGGTCGTGTTATACTTATGGAAAGGATATGTTGACATAATTACTTGTATTATCGTAAAAAAAAGAAAATGAAGCTTTTCCGGTGACCTTTAAAAGTCAAATTTGATTCCTTTTGTCACTCAAATCTATTATTTATAATTCGTATGTTTGATTTAATTTCAGTTCATAATGCAGTAGTAACTGCAGCCATCTTTGTTCCCAATCCTGCGTTGTTTTATAAATCTGAGGACAAGTCTGATCAGACGGCAGGTTTGTTTGGTGGAGAACAAGGGGAGATTATTATATCTGCTGATTTTACAGGAGCTATAAAGGTTATAGCTAATAAACCAAGAAGCTGAAATAGATTTTATTTTATATTATAGACATTATTGAAAGGCTTTATTTTACTGCTGAATGAATATGTAACCAATGCCATGCACAATGCAGACCATTAAATGTGATGTGGTCCCACAGTCAGTGTCTGGAATCCTACGGACTAAGGCTAACATTAACAGTGGGAGCCCACACAAGTCACCAGCTTCATCAATAGGGCAAGATCTTACTGCTTCATCCATGGGGCAGGATCTTACTGCTTCATCCATGGGGCAGGATCTTACTGCTTCATCCATGGGGCAGGATCTTACTGCTTTATCTATAGGGCAAGATCTTACTGCTTCATCCATGGGGCAGTATCTTACTGCTTTATCTATGGGGCAGGATCTTACTGCTTCATCCATGGGGCAGTATCTTACTGCTTTATCTATGGGGCAAGATCTTACTGCTTCATCCATAGGGCAAGATCTTACTGCTTCATCCATAGGGCAAGATCTTACTGCTTCATCCATAGGGCAGGATCTTACTCAACATATATACTGCTATATACATTGCCTTTCCATTAAAGTATGGGAACCTACTTTGAATCAACAAAACCCAGTCAGGTTGTGAACGACATTAATATAACACGTGCTTTCTCTTCAGCTGCTCCCATTGTTTGCAACTCTTTACCACAAAAACAGTGACAATATATAATCATTTAAAAGTAACTAAAAAACAGAACTATTCCGACAGTCATTCTGTTAATTATTTTAACGACGCTGTAATTTGCGCCAAGAGCAGCCTTTTGGTTGGATTTCCAGCGTTATATAAGATAATTATTATGTATTGTCACTTATCAATGAATTCCATGACAGGTTATTGTCTATATTATTATAATTAATTGTACATAATATGTGGTGAAATATTCAGGTTGATAGCGAGCTATAAAAGACTTATATCGAAGTGTTTGGTGTGAAACATGACGGGAGGGAACACGTCCTCTTCTCCTCTTAAACTCAATCTACCATTTAGTTGAAGATATTGTACATCTCTATATTCTTTTAAAAATAAACTTCAAACACATTTATTTAATCAGGCTTTTAAATGACTCTGTATACAATCGTTAACATGTCCATAATCTTGTTGTTTATTTATGATTACATTGTCACTTTGTAAAGTGCTATATGTTATATGAAAGGGCGCACTATAAATATGCTGTAATAATAATAATAATTATTACAACCCCACCTTGCCATTTTCTTTGTAAAATGAACAGTATGCATCTTATATGAAAAAAACAATGAAGCTTCCTTTTTTTTTGGTATTCATATTTCTTGAAAATATTTTTAGGTATTATAACATTCTAACATTGGGTGTGTGAATATGAAATACATTTCATTTTATTAAATTTGAAAAATTTGAAAAATGTCCAAAAATGGCAGCTACAATTTCAAGTATACATGTAAATGATATTTATTACCGAACCAAATTGATAATTAGTAAACTTTATGAGTGGAATGGTATTTACGTATTACAACACGTAATTTTGTAGGAATAATACTGACATAAATTTGAATACCATACAAGAATTATATATGAAAAATAAGAAGGTGCACCTATTTTATTTTTATTACATACGAATTTGAATATTTTGTTGACGCGTGATTTTTAATTGTGGCCTGAAACCACCTGCTTAAATATTGATAAGACTTATGCCCCTTTATTTTCTGTAAAATATATCCGACAAGAAACATTTTGAAATCCCAACACTGGTGCCATGGCTTACTCTGAAATTAATGGTTTGGTTTTCTTGTTATGAACAGTTGATAAATTTGTTAAACAATTAAAAAAGGTCAAAATGTCCATAATATTATTCTGGCAGCTATGATTTCCAAATGTATATGTTAATGATATTCACAAACACAGCACCCAATCTTCAGATAGCTATTTTGTAAATTTTATGAGGGAATGGTATCCATATACATGTCATTGCTTATTCTTAAATTAACTGTTATGGTCAGTGGATAAAATAATTGCTTTGAAATATATTTTTATATCAAAATCCCTAATCAGAACCTTTTTAAAATAGTTTTAATTTGTTTAATTACCTGTATTTAGTCTTTAAGTAGTAGATTACAAACATTACAAGACACAGTTTTTGGATAACTTGTAGATTGTTGTATAAAAATAAAGTTTATTCAAGGTGACGAATGTCTACGATATCACCTTAGGTGGAAGTGGACGTAAAACTCTAGGAACGAACCAACCAACAAAAAGGTGATGTATCAATCTTCATTATCAAGAAAATGATACAAAATTAACAAATGATGAGGACGCAGGTAATAAAACCAGAAACAATGTGTGGAATAAATCTATTAATTATCCATAGAACTGTGTCTTGTATTCTAAATATTTTTACTCCGTGGAGCTAACACCATTGAAAGTCTAATAGCTGCTCGCGTTTGTTTTCTTATGGACAATTTGTTTGTGACTAGAATCTGCTGTTAATGACCACAATATGACGTAGCTCGCTAAAAACCCTTGGCATTGTTTTAGATGGAATATAAGAAAGACACCCAAAAACATTATTAATACATTTTATTTCATTTTCAAGATGCATGTATTGCCAATGCCGATACAAATCCTGATAATTTCTCTGTTGTTATTTAATCCCTTTTGAGAGGGAGACATTACGATGGTCAGTATGTACATACATTCAAACGAACAACTGAAATATTTTTCAATCCTATGCAAAAACTGTTGATGTTTATAGATGATAATATTGTATAAAATCCAAGTAGGTAAATAGATTTTAATATATTATATTGTATATTATGTTTTGTAAAAACCAAAGTTTATTATTGTATATGTTACCTAAGAGTAAGGCCAGAATAATATTGAATGGGTATCATCATGTAGTTGGATAACTAGGATTAGACCAATGTCTAAAAAAATTCCACTACACCATTAATTTCACTGATAATTTTGCACTCGGTAAACCTCAGTAGATTCCGGTACCCTACATATAGCCTCGGCTGTATGACAGTAAGTGATATGTACCTGCACCTATACAATTGCGATGCGGTACCGGTTTACTTATTAGGAAATCTTGCTGCTTTTAGAAAGAAGTTCTTACAATTGCGTTGTTCGAAGAGAGTGTAGAATTTTCAGTGCAAACTTGTACCTTGTCTAAAGAAAATCAGATAAACTTGAAAGAAAAACAGCTTCAGACTTTGAAATCCTTGTATGATAAAACATTCTTCACAGGCATCGTCATGGGCAAAGCCATTGGTATTCCGGAAACTTGAAAGTAGTTCCAATGACGAACCTCGTCATACAACCGAGGTTAGATGTAGGGTACTGGAATCTGCTGAGGTTTGCTGAGTGATAATTGTGGTCTTACTCGATTTGTTTACGTTATTTTTTGTCTGTATGTGACAAGAGCAAAAATGAAGAAAAAGATCAAAATAATAGAATAATGAACAAAAAAATCTCAAATCTTGAATACAAACTAAAATATTACCTTTCTATAATTTCCTGCTGTTGCGCCAACAAATAACCAAATTAAACTGTAATGTGGCTAGGATTTTCTAACAGTAAATTGATTCAAATGATAACTTAGACCAGTGGTTCTCGACCTTTTTTTTGCCAATGGCACAACTTGGAACACATGTAAAAAATAGCAGCACACCTTGCTAAATATATATGAGAAATATTTGAATTTTGCAAAATAAAAACATGCATAGATGGCATACAACCGTAGACACAGACTAGTCATAGATACATAGAATGACTCAAACTAAATAAAGAAAAACACAGCTATGAACTTATCAGTAGACACCAGTGAATACTCATTTGGGATCACATCGTTTTTCGCATTTTCTTACGGTGCCGTTCAAAATTTTGCGACACACTTAGGAAGATCTCGCTGCACACCTGGTTGAGAATCACTGACTTAGACTGAAATTCAGGTGCACACATGTATTTATTTGGTCATTGTATGAAGTGGCATCTTCAATCGATGGCAAGAAATAGCCTAAAAAAGTTTCGAAGATTAGAAATACGAATTGAACCTGATTAAAATACAGATGTCACGTCATCCATTGATGTTGGCATACCATTATTTCAAATAATGGTACGGGAAATGTGCCAAGCGTACATTATTTATACTAGTTGCAATATTGGACCCTCGTGACATATTCCATTGGAATGCACGTGCTGGATAGTGCCTGTATTTTAAGTTGTTTAATCGTCTTGTGCAAGACATTGTGTAATATATAGATATAGCACTTGTACAATATCAATATATTACTTTTATGTCTCGCACTTGACCATTAAAGGTTACCGGAAAAGGTTCAAAATTTTAAAAAATAATACAAGTAATTATGTCAACATATCACGAACACGAACCTGAATGTCAATATCGCCATTCTCCGCGGGTAGTCATAATTTTCCGTAAATAAACAATCTGTGACATCATTTTAGTCCTTCGGCTCATATTCTAGTCTATATTTCTATCTGCAGAAGGACTATAATGACGTCACGGATTGCTTATTGACGGAAAGTTCTGACAACCCACGGAGAATGGCGGAAATTACTAATGTTGAAATTTACCTGTTGCAGGTAATATTGACATTTGAGTTCGGGTTATACTTATGGAAAGGATATGTTGACATAATTACTTGCATTATTTAAAAAAAAATTGATGCTTTTCCGGTGACCTTTAAACCCGATTTAAAGTCTAGTATTAGCTAGGGTAATAATGAACAAAACACTATATCATACTTCAGCTCAGCATTATATTTTAAGTTATTTGACTTGCTTTTAGTTTCTTGATATTTTAATTTATATATACATACATACTATTATACGGCAAAGTGCAATCTCTCTTTTTAGTCGATCTTTCATGTAAATATTGTAATATATTATAAAATTATTGCCGATGTATTATGTCACAGTTCTAATATATGTTAGACATCTTATTATTTCAAATTTATGTTGTTAAAATTAATTTTAAATGTTTTTTTGTCTTACAGATAAATATTTCATTATATACGATAAGAAATGTTTTTTAAAATAAGCATGAAAATGATATCTTTGGACTATACTCAATCTGATTCAAATACAGATCTATATTTCGTTTCATTTTTTATACTTTCGATGGCCTCTACTACATGAACATCTGACCAGTTGTTTTTGGAGGTCGTGTCAGAGGTCATACTTGCGGCCTGTGATGCCATGAATTCAAACATTTGATTAACCAATCAGCGTTGCTGTTTCTAGTGGGTTACCCACAGTTGCGTGCACCTCATGCCAAAAACTCATCATAACAGTCTGTTGCATTGGCTAATCTCTAATATCATCCAGAACGCATGTTATATAACAACTCTTCCAGATCCTAGTGTAGTAAAGACAAGTAAAACGAAATTTTGAACTATAACAAATGAAATGAAATAGGATCTGTGTTTTAATCAGATTGGACTATACTCGACTTGTTATTCGTGGTAATTGTTTGCTGCAATTAAAATGCAAGTGTCCAAAGTTATTTAAAATCAATGAGATTTTTTGCTTTCATATTGTGTCTTCCTGCTACTGCTTACAATTCAGGTGTTATGTTTCTCTCGATTCCCCAGTTGTACGTTACAAGGAGTAGTGTCGCCTGTCCAATCAGGTCCAATAATGCACCATAAATAAATCACACTTTATAATACACAGTGAATACTCTAACCTTATGGGTTTTCTCCGGGTTTTCCGGTTTCCTCCTCTAACTGCTAAAGACCCCTACGCACCATTGAATTATTGAAATAAAATTGAACCATATGTTATTCCCGAAATGACCCACTGCTAAAGACCCCTACACGCAAGTGAATTATTGAAATAAAATTGAACCATATGTTAGTCCCAAAATCACCTAGTTTGTGTCCAGTGGAGGTTAAACCTCTCCCTCTCTCTCTCTCTCCCTGTCTCTCTCTCCCTGTCTCTCTCTCCCTCTCTCTGTCTCTCTCTCTCTCTCTTGTTCTTTATTAGTTGTTTCAGGTAGTACAGTCCTTCACCTTTAAGGTGCACTTTCGCTCCTGCTCCTTAAGATGCACCATAGTATGGAAGTTGTGCAAGCTGTTGCACTAAAGAACATAAGTCTCATAATATATTAAAAGATTCATGATGATTGATTATTGCTTTATCTGGTTAGTGTCAATAAAAATTACTTTATATCTGTAAGGCTAGTTACTGGTATTAAACAATACCAATCTCTAATACGTTTATAATTCACAAGAAAAAAAGCAAAAATAGGTTGTCTATAAATATATTTTTAAAAATAATGTACACTGTTAAAATTAATAATTCACTACAATGTCATTAGTGAAATATACAAAACCAGATTGTTCATAAATATTTAAAAAAAAATAATGTACTGTTCTGTTTTATTTAAATTATGCAAATCAATCAATTCCAAACATTTGAGAGCTCATTTCCTATACATTTTATTAATTAACTACAAGGCCATTAGTGAAAAAAAAGAAGCAAAACCAGGTTGTCCATAAATATTTTAAAAAATTATGTACAGTACTGTTCTCTTTATCATTGACTACAAGGCAATAGTTGGGGGTTAGATGAATCATAAGGTCTGTCATTGAGTCAACTGGCGTGGTTTCGATTCCTTGGTTGTACATGACAAGGAGTAGGGTTGCCTGTTGAACCTCATGGGTTTTCTCCGGGTGCTATGGTTTCCTCCCACTGCTAAAGACCCCTACGCCCAAGACAATTATTGAAATATAAAATTGAACCATGCGTTAGTCCCAAAATGACCTAGTCTCTCTCTATTAAGATTGATCAATGCTAGTTATATCAAGTTTACATTAATTTATATTTATTTCACACCACAATGTACAGTTGTTTGAATTCATAAAAATTTCAATTCGATTTTACTTATAAATCAGATTGTAAAATACATTTTTGATTTTATAGTATTTTTGGATCATCTAGGTTAAGGTGATTTTAAACATAGTATTTAAACGAATTCTCACCCAAATATTTAAAGTAACATCATATATATTTATAGAGGAAAATATATAATAAAACTAATTTAATATTAATTTACTTGTTTGTTTTTTTTAACTGCCAATCTACAGTTCAGAAATGGCATCTGTCATAAAATTTGACCTGTGGGGGGGGGGGGGGATGGCCGAATGGTTAGCATGTGCGCATTGTATCATAAGGTCTGTCATTGAGTGTGGTTTTGATTCCACGGTTGTATGTGACAAGGAGTAGGGTTTTCTCCGGGTCCTCCGGTTTCCTCCCACTGCTAAAAGACCCCTATGCGCAAGCGAAGTATTGAAATAAAATTGAACCATTAGTCCCGAAATGACCTAGTTTGTGTGGAGTGGATGTTAAACCCCATTTCTCTCTCTCTCTCTGTTTCTGTAAGACTTACCTATATGAAATGGTAATCCAGTGAATAATATATGAGCTTTAAAGAGCTTGTCAAAATAAAAAAAAAAGCCAAGGAATGAAATTGTAGATTATGTTTAATAAAAACGTTGACACTGAGCCAGCTTATTAATATTGGAATGTTGAACAAAAAAGTAAATTTGTATCCCTGTTGAAATGTGGTTGTATTATGTTGTTACCTCTGTCCATCCTTACATCGTCCACAAATTCTTGTGAACACTCTACAGACTACATTTAATTATTTATCATGTTTACAATAGTCATACGAAGAAGTCTATTGAATTACTGTGATTGCTGATAATAACTTCGGGAGTTATTGCCCTTGGTCAATTTAATCATCCGGCAGCCTATATTTCAGAACTGTCTGACATGGTTACTGATATCATTAGCCTAATGGCAACCTATGAATGATTGGTAAAGAAGGTCGTATTCTTAAATCACAGATCCCAACAAGATGCAAATGAAAATAAAATGTAATGGGGTTTAACGTTCTACTGTTTTGCTCCGAACTGGCTCATGAAGACGGGCACACGCCATAGCCTACTGTGTACTATGAGGGAAATTTTGTCCGGACAGCGGCACTACGGCCTACTCTTATATCAAATTCCAACTGTCAAGGGATCTTTTACGTGCACACCAATTTGTACACAGGACCTCGTTTTTTTTCGTCCCATCCAAACAACTAGACAGCTGTCCTTGTCAGGCCCTCCGTCCTGCATCACTGAAAATCTGCCAACAAGATGCATTTAGTGACATCACACAGGTTACTCCTTTTTAACACTACAGTTTAAAATCAAAATAACTTTTGAAAATGTTATTGTACTTCTAAAATAAAGGTAGTGAGCAGGGTGGTTAACAAATAATTTTTCATCCTACAATGAGGTGCGGTGCTTTTGCTTTTTTTAAAGGGGGAAAAATCGAGAGAAAATATGTTTTAAAAATATATAACGTTTTATAGTCTGTGAAATCTTTAACATATGGCCTCGTAATTGGCCTTTATTGGGAGATCTGACCTTTAAAATATATTTAATTAGACCCCAATATACCCAGTGACATTTGATTGTGAACGTCTTCTGCTACTTCCTGTGTGCCAGTGTAGCATGCGCAGTTTGGTCTTGAAAGGCTTGACAAATCAGGTTCTTGCTCGACTTAACTTGACGTTGAGAAGACAGGAGATATTCTAAGAGTAAAAGACGAATAAAACAGGATAGACAGAGCGCCAAAATGACGCAGGGACGAGTACAATCAACGATGCACACTGCACCGCTAGTTACGTGCATGAAAACCTTATTAATGGTTTTTAATTTCATATTTTGGGTAAGTTGATTTGACAATATGTTATCGCTTCGTACGCCGTTTCCACGGCAAACCTCTCCAATGTATGATGCCACGGGCCATTTCAATAGACAACTTTATTGATCGAAAAGCTTTAATTTATAATGCTGTCATGCTTTTCAAACAATCCCGTTATACTTCCATTGTCATGCAATAGATGTTCGTGTTATTTTCAACAAATTTTGAAAATACATAGATATATTTATTGTACAAAGTTTGCTGTTTTACAATGTTTAACTTCTCTTCAGAATGTAACAGCCTCTATCATAGTGACAAAAAAAACCCAAACATAGAATTCTGATATTGGTCCAAAAATTATTGCGTCTTAGAATAATTGCCACATTTGAATGACAGAATTTATTGTGCGATATCTTTAAAAAAAAAAAAGGTTATTTGAAGGTTAATGTATATTATTTTTCTCCAATCGGACAGATTATGAATGAAAATTATTAAAAAGATATATGAGCTATGTAGTCTAGCTAATATTTGTATTTTATAAGGTGGTCTGAGTCATATACTTTATAATTTGGAGATTTAAATTTAATCCAAAACTCAGCACTAGAAAATTCTAAAACTGTTATAAACCATAAAACTTTGTGTTATCTCCCCGATTCCAGCTTTAAATCTATTTTTCATAAATAAAAAACTCTTGAGTGAAAGAAAACCATCCGTTGATAGACAAATTTCACAAATTTTGTGGTAATATTTTATTATGAAATTGATTTTAAACAATCAATTTGGTGGTAAAGGTTTTAGAATAGATTTGTGCTCAGTTTGGGAGTAAATGACCCAGACTGAGGAAAGGGTTAAGAATAATAAGGTTTCGTGCTAAGTTTTGATGTAAATTAAACATACATTATGCAAGAGCTACTGAAATTATTAATTAGACATTAAACATACATTACCATATGCAAGAGCTAAATCTCCCTATTGCAGGTCTTTCTTTAGGCTTAAAATGTTATCTAATTTATTAATTAGACATTAATTAACTTATCCAGACCACAACCATCTCTTGATGTCATCACTAGCCTGCGATATTTACTGGATAAGGATACGATCTGCTGCTCTATGCTCAGTCATGATTAAATCATGAAATGGATAATCGAGACTATGTATTTTGTCGTATCGACTTAAAGGAGCTAAATCGCTAACATTTGGGACCTACAAATTGACAAAAGTGGGTCGCAACGCATATAATACTGTAATATGAATGTATATAAACTAATTTACATTCAATGGTTTCCGTTTTTACTACAATTTCAAATCAATTATGTTCGGCGAAATAAGCCAGCAGTCTCAAGCGAGTGCAAATTTCTAGCGTCTGGTTATTCCAGTCTTACATACGCCGTTTGATTTGGTGCAATGTGTCTAGCCTCGTCCCTCGAGTCTCTTGATACAACTGGGGCTGAAACGCATTATGGTACACGATTCGTGTACCAATGGTAAAATGTTTATTTTGTCTTAAATATTGGATATCAAAAGCCCATCTTTTTCCGGTAAGATCACAACATGAATGTTGATTTAATTTGACAAATAAATCGTGTTTTCAATGTTGAAAATTTTGGATGATATTGAGTTAGAGACTTAGCTACTTTAAGTAATGATAATCAAGGCTAAGCCCTAAATTCAATCACTAAATTCTCGGTTCAGAATGGATCAATTTGACTTAAATTTTCAGCAAATTCCCTTTACATTATCTAGTTTTTAACTATTATTATTATAGTGAGAACTGCCAGCTCTTTATCTAATCTCCCATAATGTATCTTTAATATTAAGATCTCTTATTCTGTAAAATAAATTCACACATAGTAAGACTTTGTTTATAGTACAGTTAGAACATTGTGTATTATAAAGTATACATTGTATATCACTGTAAGTTACATGTATTAAGGAATACACTTTAACTATAGTCTGGTGTCTATTGGAATTTATAATTAACAACTGGAAACATTGTGTATTCTAAGATGTGGTTTATATGTGTATTCACAGTCAGTTTATATACAAGATATTGGTATGTGTATTCACTATGAGAGAGAGAGAGAGAGAGAGAGAGTTTATATACAAGATATTGGTAAGATATTGGTATGTGTATTCACTGTGAGAGAGAGAGAGAGAGAGAGTTTATATACAAGATACTGGTATGTGTATTCACTGTGAGAGAGAGAGAAATGGGGTTTAATGTCCATGCCACACAAACTAGGTCATTTCGGCACTGACATATGCTTCCATTTTATTTCAATAATTCGCTTGCGTGTAGGGTTCTTTAACAGTGGAATGAAACTGGAGAACCCGGAGAAAACCCACGAGGTTTGAGTATTCACTGTGTATTATGAAGTGTGATTTATTTATGGTACATTATTGGACCTGGTGTAATATACTAGGGATCTGTATAAGGTGTCTGCAGCTGCTACCTTCTCATAGTTATAAGCTAATCGGGGGATCACGTGGCTAAGTGGGTAAGACGCTGGCTCGCTAGCCTGGAGGTCGGGTGTTCGATCCCTGCATTGGCCAAGAAAGTTCATCCAGATTTTCCGGCGTGGTTTCCCCTTGTCAGTGATGCAGGACGGGGGGCCTGACAAGGACAGCTATCTAGTCATTCGGATGGGACGAAAAAAACGAGGTCCCGTGTACACATTGGCGTGCACGTAAAAGATCCCTTGGCAGTTGGAATTCGATATAAGAGTAGGTCTGTCATTGAGTCAACTGGCGTGGTTTCGATTCCCTAGTTGTACGCGACAAGGAGTAGGGTCACCTGTCCAACCTTGTGAGTTTTCTCCGGGTCCTCCGCTTTCCTCGCACTCCTAAGGACCCCTACGTGCAAGCGAATTTGTGAAATAAGGTTGAACCTTATTTTAGTCCCAAAATGACTTAGTTCGTGTCGAGTGGACGTTTTAAACTCTCTCTCTCTCTCTCTCTCTCTCTCTCTGTCTCTCTCTTATAGTGATATTGATTAGAATACTATCTGTTAGATAATGTATGTATTGAACTATGTATGTGTTAGTCCCGAAATGACCTAGTTCGTGTCGCGTGAAGGTTAAACATCTCTCTCTCTCTCTGTCTCTCATAGTGGTGATATCGATTAGAATACTATCTGTTAGATAATATCAATTGTTTTGTAAATATGAGAAATAGAACAGATATAAAGTGGTATATAACAGGTGTATGTGATATATTGATTAATATATCAACAGTTACAACTATAATATACTGTGACTTATCACTGCTTCTACACATTATAATAACATATAACAGGTCCCGGATCCATTCACTTGACTTGATATTTGTTTATTTGGTGCAATGTTTATTGTTCTGTCTTGTCCGAAGGTTTATCTTGTAGATTTTTGATGTGCGTGTGGGGGGGTTGGATGGCCAAATAGTTAGCACGTGCACGCTGTATCATAAACCCCGTCATTGAGTCAACTGGCGTGGTTTCGAATCCCCGGTTGTACGTGACAAGGAGTACGGTTGCCTGTCCAACCTCGTGGGTTTTCTCCGGGTCCTCGGGTTTCCTCCCACTGCTAAAGACCCCTACGCGCAAGCGATTTATTGAAATAAAATAGTCCCGAAATGACCTAGTTTGTGTCAAGTGGATATTAAAACCCATTTCTCTGTCTCTCTCTCTCTCTCTCTCTCTCTCTCTCTCTCTCTCTCTCTGTTTTGCGTGTAGTGCGGTCCTCCTGCACTTACTGATACAGTACAACAACTGGTTAGAAATAATCTCTTGGAGGCATTTAGTAACTGGATAGAGCAATACATAAAAACACATACTTATGGAAAAACAGCTACTTATTTATTTGGGTAAGGTTTTGAAGAGTATTCTCCCTCATTAGCTTGGTAACGTTGAGAGAATACTCTTCGAAACCTCGCCCAAATAAATAAGTAGGTTTTTTTTCTATAAGTAAGTGATTTTGTGTATAACTTGTTAGCAATGTGGCAATATTAAAGAGGATATTGTGATATGTTATTCATGAATTTATTAAAAAAAAAATTGATTTGGTTTATTCTGAGTGAACTTATGAAAGGCTATGTGTATCAGGTTTCAGACATCGGATGCAATTTGAATCTTAATCCTAAAAAGATTTCTTTTTTACAGAAGAATAAAAAAGATTCGTAACTCTATTGTCAGACCTTTTATCGCCAGTCACCATGAATGATGTCATGCATTTTTTTAAACTTTCAGCTGGGTCAGCCTTATTAGCGTTTAATGAAAATCTTAGCGAGCATTGTCTAACCCACTCAATATCTAAGCCATATAGTGTTGATTATGGTCTTATGTAAATAATTTATATACCATTTGGAGCCAGAAAACTACCGTTAGACTTAGTTCTTGCATAAAGTTAGTGTGTGCGCACTGTATCATAAGGTCCGTCATTGAGTCAACTGCCGTGATATCAGTTCCCCTGTTGTACATGACAAGGAGTGGGGGTCACATGACCAAACTCATGGGTCTTCTCTGGGTCCTCCGGTTTCCTCCCAATGCGAAAGTGAATTTTTGTGTCAAGTGAATGTTAAACCCCATCTCTCTCTCTCTGTCTCTCTCTCTCTGTCCTGATGAGCTCTTGTTGATTGAATTTATATCTATACCTACCTAGATACTAACCAATTATTTGGAATGGATTATCACATCTTTTGATCATAATAATTGTGTGTCCTCCAATCTATTGTGTAAGTGTGAAAATTTACCTATTGCCCAAGAGAACTATGGATATCTCTCAGTGTATTGAATTAAGTATTGAATAACCCTGATTTTGTGAAGATAAAATACTTCAAGGTTTTGGTCTTCTCCTGACTTAAGTATTGGACCATTCCGGATCTTTTGATAGGTATTTAACATAGGGCTACCACAGAGAGTTAGAAACATTAGGCAAATTGTGACCCTTTTAGTGGGGGTAATTTAGCCAGTAGAATTTAATGTTTTCACTCCCTCTGTAAATTGTTGGAAGGAAGTTGGAAGAACGCTCCAGGATTCAATGGCATTAATTAAAGCAATGATAATGAAGTGAAAATGAAGTGAAAATGAAATGAAATGAAATGAAATGAAATGGGGTTTAACGTCCTACTGTCCTGCATATGCCATGCAGTGTGCTATGAGGGAAATTTGACCCGAACAGCACACAGCGGTGATATGGACTACTCTTATATCAAATTCCAACTACCATTAAGGGATCTTTTACGTGCACCTTGGTGTTTCGTCCCATCCGAAAGACTAGACAGCTGTCCTTGTCAGACCCTCCGACCTGCACCACTGACAAAGGGGAAACCACGTCAGAAAATCCCGATGAACTTTCTCGCCAATGCAGGGATCGAACACGCGACCTCCAGGCTAGCGAGCCAGCATTTTTTTAAAAATATGATCGCTTGAATTTCATTGGACACAGAGATCATACATCTGTGAGGCAAGTCTACTAATTATTATAATAAATTAATTCATTTGATAGTGCAAAGTATTTCACAATTTATAAACACACAGTTTAAAGAGTGTGATCTAGCCGTTCTTAACCGTCAATGGGTTGCTTAATAAAATTATGTTTATGTCTATTTGTCATCAGATATGTTAAACCCCTTTTCATTTCTTTTCCTATTGATCAATAATAAGTTGATGTGGTGATTTTCCTTTATTTTGTATCATAAGCCATATGAGTCATCAGGGTCGTAACCAGTGAAGGAGAACTAGACTCAATAGAATAAGTATTATCTGTTGTCTATATGTATTTATTACCCAGGAGAAATTCTATTGTAATGTCATTTGTATACCTGTAAAATCATATAGGTATTCAGTTGTTTTTATAGTATATGTAATCTATCATTGTAATTTGTACTGATATGCTGTGAACTTGGCAATATGATGAATGAGTTTCACAGTAAAGAATTGTCTTCAACAAGAAAAATATTATTTCATTAATTAATCATTTATATTTTTTATTCAGTGTAATGTATTACAAATTTTCTAGTTTAAACAAACATTATGCAAGAGCTAAATCTGACTATTGCAGGTCTTTCTTTAGGCCTAAAATGTTATCTAAATTATTAATTAGACATTAATTAACTGATCCAGGCCTTAATCAACTCTCGATGGCATCAGATTTCTCCGATATTAATTAGATTAGAATGGTTCAGCGATACTTTGATTTAATCAAATATAGAGGACCGAGACTTAGCTTCGATCAACCAGTACGGTGGTTGAAATTATTGCACAGGTCTTGTCAAACCTTCAAAGGCTAATATCTTCGCTTGCAATAGAGTAATTTGAATGAAATTTTCAAATTATTCATTTTACATTATCTATTTTCAAACTATTACAACAAGAATGACTTGCTCTTTATCTAAATCTTACATAATGTATCTTTAATCATTTATATTTGTTATTTAGTGTAATGTATTACAAACTTTCTAGTTTAAAGAGGCATGATATATTTAAATAAATCTTAATTCATTTGAAAAGGATTTCATATTCAAATTATCCTGAGACTTCTTAAGTTATGATTCCCCAATCCCCAACTATACAACCTCGTGGGATTTCTCCGGGTCCTCTGGTTTCATCCCACTGCTAAAGACACCTACGCGCAAGCGAATTATTGAAATAAAAAAGTTGGACCAGGTATCAATTTTCAATAAATTCTGAAAATGAAAACAGGCATATGCCATACAGTGCGCTATGAGGGAACTTTTGCCTGGACAGTGGCGCGGCAACTTACTCTTATATCAAATTCCAACTGCCAAGGGATCTTTTGCGTGTAGGCCAATGTGTACACAGGACCTCGGTTTTAGTTTCATCCCACTGTTCTGCACCACTGACAAGGGGGAACACACAGGAAAATTCAAATGAACTTTCTTGTCCAATACCTCCAGGCTAGCGAGCCTATGTCTTACTAACTGAGCCACCAGGTAACTGGTATTGTTTTATCATTAATTACAGGTAACTGGTATTGTATTATTATTAATTACAGGTAACTGGTATTGTTTTATCATTAATTACAGGTAACTGGTATTGTATTATTATTAATTACAGGTAACTGGTATCGTATTATTAGCTGTTGGTATTAAAACTAAGATAGATTGGTATAAATATCTAGAATTATCCAGTGTATACCATCCTGAAACACCCTATGTACTTATTGGTGTCGGAGCTGTTATTGTTCTGATTGGATCACTGGGATGCTGCTGTACGGTCAAAGGTCATTCATTTCTACTTTTCATGGTAAGTCTGATGTGTTTCATAGAGCAATGTCGAATATATGAAATATGCTGTTTTGAATGGCCAAGATGCTAATACATATAAGAGGGGCCAGCAAGATGCTCATTAATAAGAGGGCCCAGCAAGATGCTAATACATATAAGAGGGGCCAGCAAGATGCTAATTAATAAGAGGGCCAGCAAGATGCTAATTAATAAGAGGGCCAGCAAGATGCTAATTAATAAGAGGGGCCAGCAAGATGGTCGAGAGCGAGACATTAAGTAATATATTGAAACAACGTGAGAGACATCAGTCCCAAGCTGTTGTTTCAATATATTATGCAATGTCTTAAGCTTGAGACCATTAAACAACTTAAAATACAGACACTCACACTTGCTTTGGAATGAAATTACGTCATGCAGGTCCAGAATTTCAACTAGTATAATAAATATACGCTTGGCACATTGCCGTACCATTATTTGAAATAATGGTACACCAACATCAAAGAATGACGTCACATCTGTGTTTTAAAATGATTTAATGAACCAGGCTAACGGAGACAGATATACACCATGCATTGTGCCATTATGAGAACACCAGACACCAGAGTATACACAGGATTTTGTTGGTTTTTTTGTCCATCCGGACAACTAGATGCTCTACTTGCATCACTTACATGGGGAAACCAAACTGGAGAAGCCTGAGGAACTTTCTGGGCCAATGTCAGGATCGAACCCAGGCCCGAGTTCACAAAGCATTCTCATATTTAAGTTAAGAATTTACTCAACTTTCAGTCACTGTTTATGAGAAATATCTTTGATTCAGAAACACAAAACTTTGCACATAGTTTCTTATTGATGTATTTGATAAATGTACATTAAAACAACAAAAGTTTGATAAAGGGCTATATTTTAGTTAAAATAAGACAAACAATTTTTAGTAACTTCTTAAATCTGAGATAGCTTTGTTAATTTGGGTCCTGTACCTTTAAGTTTGTGAGTCAGCCCTATACTCATTGAGTCACTGTGGCTCCCTAAGTTTGTGAGTCAGCCCTATACTCATTGAGTCACTGTGGCTCCATAATTGAAATCTAATGTATAGAAATAAAGAGACAGATGTTTATATGTTTGTAGAACAATATTCGCTTCATTCCATTTTTATTAGATAAAAGTAATATAATTTTATCCGCATGTATAATTAATTATCATTCATGTGGAAATCGCATGTTATGAATGCTTTGGAGGAGTATCATCGTTGTTGGTTGTTGTTTTACAGTACTGTGGTTTCCTGGCATTGATATTTATTGTGGAACTTAGTGCTGGTATTGCTCTCCTTATTTACAGAACTAAGGTATATTATGTTGTAGTTATATATCCATTTGTTAAAACATATTATATACAACACTATATACTGGGTAGTTTCACAATTATAACATTATACTGGGAATATTTACAATTAGAACTTTACACAGGGTAGATTTACAAATTATAACATATAGGGTAGATTTACAATTAGAACATTTGGCAGGGTAGTTTTACAATTAGAACTTTACACAGGGTAGATTTACAAATTATAACATATAGGGTAGATTTACAATTAGAACATTTGGCAGGGTAGTTTTACAATTAGAACTTTACACAGGGTAGATTTACAAATTATAACATATAGGGTAGATTTACAATTAGAACATTTGGCAGGGTAGTTTTACAATTAGAACTTTACACGGGGTACTTTCATAATTGGAACATTACACAGGGTAGTTTTATTACAATTAGAACAATGCACAGGGTAGTTTCATAATGAGAACATTACACAGGGTAGTTTTACAAAAAACATAATTAATATTGAAAAAGCTTTAAAGAAAAATGTCTCTGGACCAAGTATTGATGAAAATATGACCAGAAGTTAGAATTCTGTAGAAATTTAAACTTGAATACTACTGTCTTAGTTTGTTTCTTCTAAGGCAGAGCATAACTTAGGGTAAACTCAAAATGATCAGGTATTAAACCAACAATTTTATTTATTAAAGCTTGAGGAAGGATTTAGAGAAGGTCTAAACAATGCTATCAATATCTATGGTGATAAAGGCAAGGAAGAATATACAAACTCCTTTGATGACATGCAGAAAACGGTATGTTTATTTCTTCAAATTCAAACCATCTATTTGACTTGTGCAGGTTTCATGCTGTGGATACATGTAATCCATTCCAATAGCTCTACCAGCAACAATCTGGAAAATTTCCTCATTATAGGGCCTATATGAGTTCTTGCTGATAGAGCAAGACTGCCCAAGGTGAAAAACTGGATGTGTCTGTAATTGACATGTTTTGTAATTGAATTTGTTGGAAGTTAAGAGCTAAATATTTTGTGAGAATAATTGGGTATTTGCAATCTGATTAAAATACAGATCTATATTTCATTTCGTTTTTTTTATACTTTTGATGGCCTACGCTACATAAAGATCTGACCGGTTTTACGAGTGGCTTTTGACCCTATGATGTCAGACATTGATTAATCAATCAGTGTTGGTGTTTCTAGCGAGTATACCCACAGTTCTGTTCATCGCATGCCAAGAACTCGCCGTAACAATCTGTTTCATTGGCAAATTCCTTACATCATCCAGAACACCGGTTATATAACAACTCTTCCAGATCCTAGTGTAGTAAAGACAAGTAAAACAAAATTTTGAACTATAAAAAACGAAACGAAATAGGATCTGTATTTTAATCAGATTGGGTGTATTTGTGAAACCACATGAGGGTTTCCTAAACTGTTGTTTTGTTCTGAATATCTGTATTTTAATGGTTTTGTTCTAAATATGTGTATTTTAATGGTAAAATTATATTTTATTTCTTTAATACAGCTTCATTGCTGTGGTATTAATAGCTATACAGACTGGTATAATACTAAATGGGAGAAGACCCAGTCTGTTCCGAATAGTGTCCCCAAATCATGTTGTAAAGTTGTTGATGACAATTGTAAACACACCAATCTACCTGCCAACGCAACTAATCTAGATATCGACACACAGGTATGAACATTATAATATTTCTATCTTCACAACTAATGGGGTTTCACATAGTACTTTTTCTGTATAAACCAGGGGGGGTGGATGGTTGAATGGTTAGCATGTGAACGCTGTATCATAAGGTCTGTCATTGAGTCAACTTTCGTGGTTTCGATTCCCCGGTTGTACGTGACAAGGAGTAGGGTCGCCTGTCCAACCTCGTGGGATTTCTCCGGGTCCTCCAGTGTCCTCCCACTGCTAAAGACCCCTACGAGCAAGCGAATTATTGAAATAAAATATAACCATATATTAGCCCCGAAATGACCTAGTTTGTGTCGAGTGGAAATTAAACCCCATTTCTCTCTCTCTCTCTCTCTGTGGACTACTCTTATATCAAATTCCAACTGCCAAGTGATCTTTTTCGTGCATGCAACAGGACCTTGGTTTTTCGTCCCATCCGAACAGCTAGACAGCTGTCTGGTCTGAAAACAAGTACTAGCACCACATCTGACTTGTTTAAGGTATGGAATCCTGATTATCTTTTTTTTCATTTATATCCGTTAATTCAATCAATAATATAAAAATGGCAAACTTTAACTGTGCTGTTCATTTATTCCTCAAAATCTTATTTACTGGGGATCTGGACAAACCATAATCAAATAGACAATGATCTTGAGACGGTACTGAATTTAATGTCTTGAATGATTAATTTAATAAGTGATTCCTTCAGTGGTTCTGTGATTAGTATATGATAGCTATATTAGATTACAGATGGCTGAATCTATTTGTTAAGGCCAGCTCAATTTTTTTCAAGGTCACTGAGATGTAAATAAGGTTAGGGCACGTGATTGTTGGCGAGATTGTAGGTTAGGGTTAGGGTAAGCATTGGGACTAGATCCAGTGTTAGGGTTTTGGTTGGGATTAGCTCTAGCCCTATTTACGTCTTGTGACCCTTGACGAAAAATTGAGCTGGCCTTATCATTTAGCACTAACCATTACATACATTTCAAGGAAAATCTTATTATATTATGAACACTGTTGCTATAGAGATAACATGGCGGAGGATTTTGGGTGTGGACTAACTGGTTATCTTTGCAGGCATTGGTCAAAATGAAATGGGGTTTAATGTCCTACTGTTTTGCTCCGAACTGGGCTAATGAAGATGGGCATACGCCATAGTGTGCCATGATGGAAATTTTGCCCGGGCAGTGGCACTATGGCCTACTCTTATATCAAATTCCAACTGCCAAGGGATCTTTTATGTGCATGCCACATTAGTTAAATTCAAATCTTGTAGTACTGAAACAAAAGGTGACATAAATTTAATAGGCCCAGGGGTGTAATCTTGGAACTTTAATTCCCAGTTTTAATGACTTGTTCAAAATGATATGACATGATATGTTTTATTACAGGGTTGTCACAAGTTGGTAGTTGATTTTATTAATGGTAATCTAGGACCTATTGGTGGTGTTGCCCTTGGAATATCATTCTTCCAGGTAAAACCTTTAATTCTTTCTTCAAGCAGGTGATCGACAGATATCGCGTCTACCTCTGCTTTTAATTAAAGTAGAAGAATTGTTATTAATTCACAAACAACTCGTGTATAATTATAGCATTGAGTAAAATAAACCATAACATCTATGGATTACTGTATCCGATAATAGCCCCCATCCCCCCTCCCACATGTCTAAGAGGAGTTGGTTGGCCGAATGGTGAGCACGTGCGCGTTGTATAATAAGGTCTGTCATCTGTCATGAGTCAACTGGCGTAACAAGGAGTAGGGTCACCTGTCCAACGTCGTGGGTTTTCTCTGGGTCCTCCGGTTTCCTCCCACTGCTAAAGACCCCTACAGGCAAGCGAAATAAAATTGGACCATATGTTAGTCCCAAAATTACCTAGTTTGTGTCGCATGGTCGTTAATCCCTCGCTCTCTCTCTTTAATCACAAGTAGTAGTTACTTGAAATGGCTTTTGGTCACAGTAAGCTACATTATTGAAAGAGGAACAACTCTGACCCTATTCATAGATGTTATAGTAGATCTTTTGTTATTTATAATGGTGTAAATAATTGTATTTCTATCATGGATGAAAAAGAAGAGCACTCAAAGTTTTTTTTATTTCCGGCCTGTTGCTTACTATTATGAAATTTAAAATGTCTGTCATCTGTGGTGTTATAATGTTTAAATTTTTGATGTAATTAATCTATCTACTTATAGATTTTGGGTGCCATCTTGGCTTGCTTCTTGGCTAAATCTATCAACAAGGCTAAGTATGAACAAGTTGCCTAGAGACTATAATACCTATCAACATCCTTCAAAAAAAACGATAAAGGTCACAAAAGGTCAAATATCAAAACCATACAATATTGCATTTCCTAAATATTTTTGTCTTTTTTAATCATGTCTACAAAAAAACCTTTATGAATTGAATCGAAGTTTTGTCCATTTTGGATTTAAAAATTAATTGAATAAATGTCTCAATGATTTAATATTTAAATTCACTGATTTATTTTTGAGTGGTTAAAATATAGTTCCACAAGAAGAATTAATTTGAATTTTAATTCTAATTTTGGATTTAAAAATTATTAAAATGAATATCTCAATGATTTAATATTTAAATTCACAGATATATTTTTGAGTGATTAAAAGAGAAAGTCCCTTGAGGAATTCTGGTTCTAACAATTTATGCTCAATGTACATGTATATATTGATATACCACATTATACCAATATTACGCTCTCTAGATCTCAATTTACGTATTACTATAACCGTGACATATTAAATAGAAAATGTTTTCTTGTCGTCTGGACATCATGTATTTTGTCAACTTATTTGGACAATTTTTTATTCATGTCAAAATTTATTATTGGAAATCTTTAATGTTTTCTCAATTTGTTTAAATTTATTACCTGCTCGTGTTAGTTGTTTCAATGTTAGTAATCAAAAATTTACGGAACACAATTCTATGGAACATAATTATTGTTCATTTCTGATACCATTTGCTTGATAAAGATTAAAGAATCCTAGATGAAATATTCCTCATTTATAAACATTAAAGGAGCTAAATCGATAATATTTGGGACCTAGAAATTGACACAAATGGGTTGCAAGTTGCAACGCATATAATAATGTAATATGAATGTATATAAACTGATTTACATTCAATCGTTTCGGTTTTTACTATAATTTCAAATCAGTAATGTTCAACAATATACGCCTGAAGTCTCAATCGAATGGCAATCTCTAGCGTCTGTTTATTCCAGTCTGTACTGATTGTATTTAAATAAGAATATGTGCCACAGTTTGACATGACTTGTAGAATATGTCTAGTCTTATTCTTCGAGTCCTTTGTTCCAAATGGCACTGAAATGCATTATGGTACACGATTCGTGTACCAATAGGTCAAATGTTTATTTTATCTTAAATATTGGATATCAGAAGCCTGTCTTTTCCTGGTAAGATCACAACATCAATGTTTATTTAAATTGACAAATAATTTGTGTTTTCAATGTGATAGTGAGTTAAAGACTTAGTAACTTTAATTGTATTCCATAGAATTGTATTAGGTGTATTACCTGATATTACCTGGTGAATTGACTACCATGAGTAGAATTCGTACCTATATTTATTATTATATAAGATATAAATGGGTTTTTTTCTTATTTGAACGTAATTTAAGAATTTATTATTGATCTGTTTAAGAATATGTATATTTTGCCACAGGTTGACATTCCCACCCCCTCACCTATGATGTATATTATTAATGTAAAGAATTTTGTTTCATTGTTATATATACCTATTGACTATATATATACAAAATGATTAAGACACTTCAAAAAGACTAATAATAATGTAGTTATTGATTCATATATTTTCAATAACATACATTACATACAAGAATGTTGAAATAGGACATATTACATACAAACATGTTGAGATAGGACAGATTACATACAAACATGTTGAAATAGGACAGATTACAAACAAGCATGTTGAAATAGGACAGATTACAGACAAACATGTTAAAATAGGACAGTTTAAATACAATCATGATGAAATAGAACAAATTACACACAAACATGTTGAAATAGGACAGATTAAATACAATCATGTTGAAATAGGACAGATTACATAATAGGATCACAGATTTGGAATAGGGTAAGTGGAATTAAATCCTCAAATATTTCAAGCATGCAACATAAATTTTGAAAATTTAAATATTCTTTCAGTGAGTGTCTTAGTCATTTTAATGCAATAATCACAAAACTTGTTTTTGCTTTTGTGTGTCTAAAAGTTGTGAAATGAACACCTATTTACAAGTTGTTTTAAAACTGCCTATTGTTTTGGTGAATTGTTTATAATTATTCTGATTGTCTTTCACTCCTTGCAATCTTATTGATATTATATATGCATAGTTTAGTCAAACACAGTGGTTCTCAACCTATTTGTGCCAACGGCACGGCACACCTTGGAACACATGAAAAAATAACGGCACACCTGGCTAAATATATATGACAAATATTTGAATTTTGCAAAATAAACACATAATAAGTCAGACAGCATACACCTGTAGACAAAGACTAGTCATAGACACATAGAATAACTCAAACTAAAAGAAATACACAGCTATGAACTTATCAGTAGACACCAGTGAATACTCAACTGGAGTCAAGTGGGTTTTCGCATTTTCTTACTGTCTCGTTCAAAATTTCATGGCACACTTGGGAAGGTCTCTCAGCACACTGGTTAGGATCACATGGTTTTTTGCGTTTTCTGAGTGTGCCGTTCAGAATTTCGTGGCACACTGAGGAAGATGTTGCGGCACACTGGTTGAGAATCGTTGGTCAAGCATATGGTGTGGCATATTAAAGTAACTGTTTATTGATATATATATATATATATATCCTATTATTGTAAATAAAGGTGTACATGATATATAAAAGTTGAAAAGAAGTTTACGCTTATATGTCGACTACAAATTTAAATTATTAAGGTATTAAATGATGTGACTGAAAGTACATTTTTGCTGTTAAAGATTATAAAATCGTAAATTTCTTCTAATTGTATTGAACTCATCTTAGGTTGATCTGAAATGGTATTTTATTGTGAAGCTATAAAGTAGTACGTTGATATCTAATTTTAATAAAAATTTCAGAACGTAGTTATATACAGGGCTTTCTTTTCAGTTGGATTTTCCAATCTTGACTGACTGACACTAAAATTGACCACCTGGAGAAATACCTGTCATAGAATTGAAATTTTAACTTTAAAACACAATCGATACAATTAAATGTATAACTCTTGTGTTTAGAAACACATGAAAATATATTTATAGTTTGGGTTAATGCTAAAATTAAAATGGTCACATTCTATTTTTCTAATTGGAAGTAATATGTCAGAAATTGACAGACTGGCAAACTACATGTATTGAATTGAAAGCCTCGATATGACCTCTTTAAAGTTGAATAAAAGATATAATTATATGATATGTTGCTATGTAAGTACCTGTCATGGGTCTGCTGATGAACATTTTATGTTATAGATCTTATTAATCCAGTTCAACACTATATTTAGCTAATTGTGATTGTAACTAGAACTGCGATGCAGTTATGACGGGTGTCACGGGTGTGAAACCTTAATAATAATTTGAACTAATTAACTCGTGTTGTTTAATCAAACAGGGTAGATTATTAAATGACTGCTCCCGGGTCCTTAACTGTAGATTGAATTAAAAAGAAGGGTTAAAAGATAAGGGTTTGATTGAATATTTTAATGTGTTCATCTATGTAATATTTGATGTTATTAATGGAGTAGATTAGATTTTACTTATCATAATATTATTACTTAAATATATAATATACTATTCACTCTTGCTCCAACCTCGTCTGTTTTCTCCGGGTCCTCCGTTATCCTCCAACTGCTAAAGACCCCTACAAGCCAGCAAATTATTGAAATAAAGTTGAACCATATGTTAGTGCCGAAATGACCTAGTTTGTGTCAAGTCGACGTTAAACCCCATTTCTCTCGCTCTCTCTATTCACTCTTGCATTACAAAATGTTTTATGCTTAACTCGAACTTTCAATAGAAAATGAACCTCAGATTGAATCCATATCAGAAAGATTGTAGCAATAGATAAATTTGGATTCAGTTGTCGTTTTACTTCAATAGTAAACTAATCAAGATATGTGAACTCAAGGAAGGTGACCCTTGAGTGAACTTGATGTGAAATAATCTTTACACCAACTGTATGTCTTACACCATTGTGATTGTGTATAAATTAACTTATCTATATAAAACACACAGCAGACCATGTCTAGATGTCTAGTCATAACCTTGAGCTTTTGTTGTCTGTGACTTTCTCATACAAATTTAAGCTGTTTAAAGGGACGCTCAGTGAAGAAAAGTATTAAATAAAAGTGAATATCTCAGCTGTTTAAAGAGACACTACATGTAAGTGAAGAAAAATATAGAATGTTCCCAAAAATACTAGTTGCGTATTAAAACAAGATAGCTAATGTATATTAGGCCCATCTGTCATAATATTTTATTAGCATGAAGGAAAGGAAGTAGAGAAATTTTTTATCTCTGAAATTTAAACAAGGCCTAATAAAACTAAAATATATTATAACCTTTATTCTTTAATTATTATATTTCTTCCTTTTCATTGTTAAATGGAGCACATTAGTTTAATATAAAAAAAAAACACCTTTGCACTTTAAACAAGAAATTTGCCATTTTGTATATTTGTTGAATGGTCTCTTTACATATTAATGTATCTATAACATTATTCTCTTGCCTATTATATTTAATATAGTTTAAGCTATTTATTGGTGATAAAATCATTTAATCTTTTATTTCACTGTTATTACATACTATTTACATTTTTCTTTTTAGCTGAATAAATATTTATGCTTTATTTGATGTTTTTTTTTGTTGTAATTAAAGATACATTATGGGAGATTATATAAAGAGCTGGCAGTTCTCAAGATAATAGTTAAAAACTAGATAATGTAAAGGGAATTTGCTGAAAATTTCAGTCAAATTGATCCACTCTGAACCAAGAATTTAGCGATTGAATTTTAGGCCTAGCCTCAATCATCATTACTTAAGCCGGTACGATAGAATACATAGTCTCGATTATCCATTTTTTGATTTAATCATCCATGAGCGTTGAGCAGCAGATCGGATTATAATCCAGTAAATATCGCAGGGTAGCGATGACATTGAGAGTTGATCATGTTCTGGATAAGTTAATTAATGTCTAATTAATAATTTAGATAACATTTCAGACCTAAAGAAAGACCTGCAATTGGCAGATTTAGCTCTTGCATAATGTATGTTTGGTATTTTGGTATTTAAATATTTAGACGTGCTGTGAAAAAGATCATCTTAGAGTGATAGAAATAGGAATCATAGTTTTAAAATTGATGTGAATGGGGTTTAAGTCCACTGTTGTCCACGAGGACTTCATGATACAACCAAATAAATTCAAAGGAAATATTGTAGCAGAGAGGGAAAGAGAAATGGGGTTTAACGTCCCCTCAACACAAACTAGGTCATTTCGGGACTAACATATGGGTTAATTTTATTTCAATAATTCGCTTGCGCATAGGGGTCTTTAGCAGTGGGAGGAAACCGGAGTACCCGGAGAAAACCAACAAGGTTGGACAGACGACCCTACTCCTTGTCCCGTAGAACCGGGGATTCGAAACCATGCCAGTTGACTCAATGACAGGCTTTATGATCCAGCGCGCACGTGCTAACCATTTTGCCATCCACCCCCCCATAGGGTAGCAGAGAGAATCTTCGGTAATTACTAAAGACTGGAACTATCCTGAAACTATTTATTACTGGAAAACATTAAAAATCATATACGGAGAACAGCACGTCCAACAAGCAGAGTAACTGTCCTGGAAACGAGATGAAACCTAGAATCTCATGAATGAATGTACAATTTGGTGGGGACATCTCACTGTGCCCCCTGCTATTGTTCTCATGGGGGGATTAATCAAGCAAGGGGATTATCGAATACAATGGTGTTAAAAGTATAGTCTGTTTTTTTAAACTACTAGGTTTAAACTAATTAACAACTTTATTCACAATAAATTTCATAAAAGTAACAACAAATACATGTATCAAACATAAATCATAACCCCACTAAATGTGATATGGCGTCAGTATATTCAATTGCACTTTTTACTACATTTAACAGTTTGATTTTTAGATCATTAATAGATTCTTCTACTCTTTTATATTTTCGTCTTTTAGGGGGCAATCGTCCCCCGTTATCCAATTGAACTATTGTATTTTCAGTAAAAGTCTGCAGGTGCTATTGGGTTTCGTATAATTAACTAAATTTTGACCTCCTTGGGAATTAGGAATAAACCCTATGCGAACTTGAGCCATTTTAAAAGATATAATGTAATTGGGGGTGACAACTATCCTTAAAAAATGATAGTGAGTTTCTAATCATATATTTGATTGATTTATGAGTACTGTCTGAATGAAAGGTAGGTGAATAATATTTAAGATACTCGTTAACCGATGACACGTGAACTTAACTTATATATTTTAATCATTAAAATAATTAAATTTTAACTAGGTGAACAGTACTAATAAGAATACAGTCTATAATCCTTTGTTTACTTAAATTTTCACACCACTACCCTATAACACCAGTTGATTGGGGGGCACAGTGAGATTAAATCAATTCGGTATTTATAATAAAATGGTATCTTAAGAATTAACAATGTACACCAAGGTTACTAATAACAATTAAAGAGGAAAGATTAAAATATAAAGGACATGACAATAAAATAAAACACTAAGATTGTAATTAAACTCATTAATGCGTCAGCTGTCAACTGTATGTCATTAGATTAGTAACTTAACGTCTAATTAAAATGAGGGATTAACAGAAATATAAGAATAATAGAAATATTTAATTGAATAGATGAATAATGAACGAATAAATTATTGCAAGAATGAAATAGAACAGTTTATTAATTTATCACCATTATGATATGAAGCAGTGCCAATATCACAGTAGGTGTCAACTGTTTGATTCCGTACACAGTTTGATTCGGTCCATTGTGTATGGAACACAAGGGATAAAAGCATGAGTCATCTACATGTATTAGGTTACTGTTTTCATATGAAGAGTCCAGGGGAAGAACGATCTAAGTCACATTTTTGTCTTTTCGCATAAAAGGCAAAACAGACTTTTAGACGAGAACGCTTGACGCGAACAGAACAACCGAGTGGGTTTAATAACAACTTCAAAATGATGTTTAATACGAATCATAATTACCAGTACAACAACTGACTTCCACTTTTCAGCCAAATTAAGGTCAAATAAAGGGTATGATGGACGTATTTGTCCGGGAGACCATTTCAGAAGGGCCTTGGTTCGATGTGACTCTGATCGTTTTTACCTGAAATTGATTGTTCCACAGAAAGCTTATATACGATTTGCTACCAGAAGGCACCATTAACTGGGGTTTGTTGTAAAGTTGATTTAGATCGTTCTTCCCCGGGGCTTTTCATATGGAATTTGGTGGGCTAGATGGCCGAATGGTTAGCATGTGCAAGCTGTATCATAAGGTCTGCCATTGAGTCAACTGGGATGGTTTTGATTCAACGGTTGTACGTGACAAGGAATATGGTCGCCTGTCCAACCTCATGGGTCTTCTCCAGTTTCCTCCCAGTACTAAAGACTCCTATACACAAGCAAATTATTGAAATAAAATTGAACCATATGTTAGCCCCGAAATGACCAAGTTTGTGTCGAGTGGAAGTTAAACCCTATTTCTCTCTCATATGGAATTCATTTATACATCAAATCATTGTTCTGACCACATCGGATGATGTACTATAACAAGTTATCAGAGTTAATATTGCATTAACATTTTGAATATCGATGAATATTATTTGCATAAAAAACATGTAAATTGTAAATAATTATGACATAATATCAGAAAGAAATGAAAACTACATAAACGGTTGATAATATATACATTAAGAAAGGTTTTAAGACAGGAGAAAATTATTAAGTTTTATGTACAAAATCAAAACAACAATTACACAATAAGAATTCATGAAGCATGTCACATGGACTATATATTAATATGAAAATGAAACAATCAAGTGGGGGATGCAGGATAATTGGTTTGGTGGGGATGGAGTGTCCTTCTTGGATAAAACAACAAAATAATAAGGGAATTTTTTATACTGTCATTTAGGGTCCCCACCTCTCCCTCTCCACCTAGATTTGCCACTGAAACGAAATGAAATGAAAGGAAATTGGGTTTAACGTCCTGTTGTTCTGCACCTAAACTGGGCTAAAGAAGATGGGCATTCGCCATACAGTGTGCTATGAGGGAAATTTTGCCCAGGCAGCGGCACTATCACCTACTCTCATATCCAATTCTAAATGCCAAGGGATCATTTACGTGCACACCAATGTATACACGGGACCACAGTTTTTCGTCTCATCCAAACGACTAGACAGCTGTCCTTGTCGACCATCCGTCCTGCACCACTGACAAGTGGAAACCACGTCGGAACATCCTGACGACTGAAACAATCTATTAATTCAGTAATGACTTTTATAAATACAGAACTACAACGGTAATAGTCAGAGCAGAACAATAAGAAGTTAAACCCCATTCCATTTCATTTCACAACCCCAATAGTGAATGGGGAATATTCAAGCTTTAAGTAAATTTGTCTAATATAGTCAATATTAGAGAGAGAACCTCATCAATGTCAGTCTATACATTAAGTAAAAAGAACAATAGAAACAACTAGTCATGTTATTAACGGTACATATTGATACATTACATACTATCTATACTGATATTGTCATCAATGATTAATAATTCATTGGTCTTCTGTAGACATGATTCAATACAGATTATAAAATACATCAGGGATGTTGATCAATCCTACCATAAACATCAACAATGTTAATCTTAATGTCATCTTTATCAATTCCAATAGATTCATCCTTATTTCCATTTTTCAGAAAAATGTGCTCAAATTGATTTTTTAATTTTAATTAAACATACATTATACAAGAGCTAAATCTGTCTATTGCAGGTCTTTCTAATTATTAATTAGACATTAATTAACTTATCCAGACCATAATCAACTCTCGATGTCATCGCTAGCCTGCGATATTAACTGGATTTGAATCAGATCTGCTGATCAATGCTCATTGATGATTAAATCATCAAAATGGTTCATCAAGACTATGTTTTCATGTATTCTATCGTACCGGCTTTAGTAATGATGATCGAGGCTAGGCCTAAAATTCAGTCGCTAAATTCTTGGTTCAGTATGGATCAATTTGACTGAAATTTTCAGTTTTTAACTATTATAGTGAGAACTACCAGCTCTTTATCTAATCTCCCATAATTATCAAAAAGGTGTACGTACATGTAGAAGTTTGTTATATATTACAAGGATAAAAACCGTTCGCAAATCTCAACTTTATGTTTTTAAACACAGTGGATAATTATTCATCTGTTTTGTTTGAGATATGAGTATTTAATTGTTATAATTCACTGTGTTTGAATCCTGATAGCTTTAATAACTTACAATACACACATTATACCCTCCACATAATCAATAATCGCATTGTTGTAATTCTTTTTGATATGTTTCATAGAAGATAACACAGAAATCTATGTGTGTGTGTTGGTTGCATACCATGGGAATTAAAGGGAATATAATTTTATTCAGCCCACTGTCTGGGCTAAGTTGGGCTTTTGGATTTGTAGAAATTGGATATCCAAATGACTATATTTGACCTTGATATTCAAATGTTATGATTAGACTTTTTTGGGGGGTGTGCGAATCAGAAATAAATCTTCAAGGAACATCTATACAGTCCCTCACCCTCTTTGGTTTGTA